TTTGACTTCTTGCCTTAAATTAGTTGAAAGGTAGCTAGTGGAATTGAAGAAATACGGTGAAGGATTAAATAATCGAAGAACACACCACGGAGTGCTTTTATTGCAGCTAATTATTGGGATATTGATTAGTAATTATGTTTAATCAAATTAAGGGTCTCTCTCTTGGTTCTCAAACAATAGAGCTTCTAAAAGTTTTCTCTTGCCTGCCGTGTGAGCAGCTAAAATCAAATGGGCTTTACGATCATCATGTCATAGCACTACTAAAAAAATTGGTATTAGGGATGGACAAATTTCATCCCTAAAAGTCATAAATCCGTTTCTAAATTATTTAAGATAGAATTTGAGACGAAACAATTTTCGTTCCTGAATCGCTCCTAGCTAATGTTTTGGGACGAAACTTTAGTTCCGTCCCTAATAGGAAAGAATAAAATCCGTCTCTGACATGTGTTTTTTCGTCCCTAATGTTATCAACAATTAAGAGTTGTAAAAGATATGAATCCGTCCCTAATAGGGACGGAATTAGGGAAGGATTTTTTGCGTCCCTATTAGGGACAGATTTTGTCCGTCCCTATTAGGGACGAAATTTTTATCTGTCTCTATTAGGGATAGATTTTGTCCGTCCTTATTAGAGATGAAATTTTCGTTCGTCCCTATTAGGGACGAATTTTGTCCATCCCTAATGTTATCACTACTTTCAAAATATATTTAATAAAATATTTTGAATTTTTTTTAACAAAATTTATACCTGATAATCGTCATAATATAAATCATCAAAGTCATATAAGTTATAACCAATCAAAGCTGATTTGAAATTTATAATAATTATAACCATACAAGCCATCATAGTCATAATCAAATAGCTAAAAAGTCTTAATGATAAAAAGTATCATAGAAGCAAAAATAACAAATGTATCAAACTACAATATCAACTAATAAGTATTGTTCACAAAATGTATTAAAAGATTATAAAATAACTATCAATTATCTTCGTGTAACTCAACATCATAGACATCATCTTCCACATCATCACCAACTTGAACCTCATTGTGTGCCTCACGAGCAGGAGGTGTAGCAGTGGGCATAGAGACATGAGCCATCAAAATCTTCAACTGCTCTTTCATAACAGCCATCTCTGTCTGCAATTCTTGATTTTGGGTGGAAATGGTTGTCACTAGCTCTCTCATACGATTATACTCATTTGCAGAGACTCCTTGAGACGAACTAGCAGACTTCTGTGAAGCCTTGTATTTACTCGCCTCTGCACCTAAACCAAAAATGTGGCCCTTTTTGCTCATACCTCCAACAGTCTGCAGGAATAATTCATTATCAGATTGTCCGGTAGATGCATCATTTCCAATAACCATATCACGTTCATTCCTCCGCTCAAAGAATTTATCTTGAAAATAAACAAATTACACTAGTCATCAATACATGTGGCAATTCTATAAACACACAGATATTTCAAAAAGGGTGTTCCAATAAAAGGTAGCAAGATACCTATAGCTTTCTGCCAACATATCTATGCAGATTACCAAGTAATATCATGCATTAAACCAAAAATTACAAATGAACGTATTTAAGTTGCTTTCAAGGTAGCAACTAAACGAACATAATCAAGTTATCAACATCACCTAATAAACCTTACAAAGATTACAAGTCAGAAACCAAATTTGCTTTATAAGGCAAAATTTAATCATATCATAATTTTAAGTAGACACACGTTTAATACTATTATCAAGTATACTAAAGGTGACTAAAGTCAACAATGTCCACAACTTTATAGGTAATGGAAAGAAAATTACAGCAACTTCCTTTGATCTCTGGGAAGTCCACGAACCATCTTTTTTAACTATATGCATCTTCTCATATAGCAACCAATCTACTGAATTTGGATCTACTGTAGGGTCTTCCAGCTGCAATACAAAAATTCAGCCAATCAAACAAGACAGAAACATTGAATAATTGTTTATAATTATTGAAACTTAAAATTTAAATTAGTTACCAATCTTTTTTGTGCTCAATAAATGGAATGGAGCCTCCAACATGGGAAGCCCATTCAAAACAAGCTCTATTTTGCTTGTTTCTTTGAGACTTTATTTGCCATTCATCTGAAGACCATATTTCTTTCATGTTAGCCAAAGCGTCATCCTTAAGCCATGTGTCACTCTCCTGCCCATTTCGAATCCTATTCAAGTGATGTGACAACAAAGTTGATGCTTTCAAATCAAAAGTGTTCTTCATCATATTCTCATCATGTGGAAGACATTTGTACTTTTGCTGAATTTATAAATCATACAACTATAATGCAATGTTTGGGTTAATAAAAAATACAACCATCATTTAAAAAATATAGAAAGGCAAAAATAAACAATGTGTACATACCCGAAATTTTTTATACCACAGCTCACGCATATTGACAGAACAATTCCCATATGATTCGCAAGATTGGTCAAAGTTACGCATTAAGATTGGCATTATCTTACGGTTCACATACGAAAGCTCAAACCTGTGAAAAAAGTTTCAAATAATTACCAATTCATCTACAATGAACAATTTAATTTGACTTGATGAAAAGTATTAATCACTTACGTTGTCCGGAGGGGACATGTCCAAAAAAATTTATCAGTAGGATATGTGCTCTGCTAATCTGGATGACTCCCTGCTATCGCTGCGGTGGACTCTGCGCTATAGGATGGGAGAGGAGATGGGCTAACCACCTGTATGTAGCATAATTCAAAACAATTAATATGATGCAAATATTGATAAATAATCATGAAAAACATGTCAAACAACTAATAGGAGAACTCAATGATAGGATCTAGTGTCGGGGTACGAAGCTTGGAGGTTGGCGCCAAAAATGTTTTTCCTATAGACTCAAACAAGTTTGGGGTCTACATCTGTTTTTTTTTCCTGTACTTTTTTATGGGACCCATGCATTGTTTGTCTCAGTAGCAGGATGAATCTAATTTCCTATAACATAATACTTATAAACCCCAAATCAAATATCGCTAAATGTAGGAGAAAAATGTCATGCTACGTTTAGGGGTTGATTATCCTCGACACGACATGAAAAATTTATATTCAAGTTAATCCAATTTCAAACTCCTATTATGTTTATGTTATTAAAAATTAATACAAAAAGATTCATGCTATGTTGCGTGTGAACCTACAAATACGACATTGACATGCGTTAATATTCTCATGACTTATTTGTATTACATAGTGTCGTGTGTAAACATGACAATTATGAAAGCAATATTTTATGTAATGGATCTAAAAAAATTTATTTATGTCCACACACTTAATGACGGGGGTTCGGGGGTAATGCCCCGGAGAAAACTTTTTTAAAGTAAATTTTAAATGCATTAAAAAAAAGAATATAAACAAAAAAAGAAAACTTCAACTTAACAAAAGAATATATAAAATGGTAGGTTTTATTATATTTATATTGAAATACTAATCACTCACTTATCTTCAAATGGGTGCTTCTAAAATTTGTGTATCATGGATTTCAATTCACCCACCATTGCTTAGTCTTTCTTCTTTCTCTCACTCACTATCATCATCATCACTATTTCTGTGTGTGTTTTGTTTGCAATAACAACAAAGATTGATTGGGTGTAATTTTTTTTTTAAAAAGTTTGTGTCCGCTTAGGTAGGTCTGCCACTGAATACATATAGGGGTGGGAATTTGGATCGACACGATATGACATGAACATGAATACTCTCAATACGAACACTACACAAATTTGAAATCAGTTTAAAATATTTGACACGAACACAACACGCTTATTTTGCGTGTTGAACGACATGACACGAATAAGCCGCAAACCCATAGTGTGTGGTTTATTATGCAGGTTAACATGACATGATGTGACATAAATAACCTGTCAATCTCAAACTGTTATTTATTATGCGGATCGACAAGACACGATACCAAAAACCTATAAGAAGATTAACGCGAGTCAATTTTGGGTTCGTGGATTGACATGCAACACCATACAAATTTTTCATGTCAATTTTTTCCAATACGAACACGACAAGTATTTGAAAATATGTCAACCCAAACACTAAATTTTCTTGTTGTGTTCATGTCGTATCAGTGGGTCGTGTCTAAATTTTCCATCCCTAAATACATAGGTTATTATTGTCGTGTTGTGTAATGTCAACTCGCATAATAAGCAAGACACTTTGAGATTTGTTGGTTATTCGTATCATGTTGTGTATTGTCAATCCACATAATAAGCGGCAAACTTTGAGGTTGACAGATTATTCGTGTTGTGTTGACCTATAAAATTAGTGAATCGTGTTCGTGTTAAAAATTCTGACACGAATCTTCATTGGTGTCGTGTTCGTGTCGAGTATATTTGTGTTCAAAGTTCAACCTTTACTCAATACGAGCACGACCCGCTAACATAAATTGTCACCCCTAACTATGTTATGATAATTATAATGCACCTACGATTAAATATTTATTTAATATATTTTATATCAACTTAAGTTATTGGGACTAAAGACATTTTAATTGGTACGAGCTTTGTAATGTATAGATATCAAAATTATTATTTTTAATTTTATGATGTGTTAAAATAAAAATAAGGAAAAAATTAAAATATGTATAATACTTGACTCATATGCACAAATTTCCATTTTAACATTCAATTATTATAAAAGAAGAGATTATTGTCCTGGATCAGCCACACATATCCAAACCATTCGCCTAGCTAGTCTCTAACTTTTTACTAAAGGCTCGGGTTTCACTTTTCTTGTTCTTTTGGTGTATATAAATGATATAATCTTGGCTAGATCATCTATTGAATAAATCCAGCAATGTCAAAAAATTTCTAAATTCCCAATTCAAACTTAAAGATCTTGGTCAGCTTAAATATTTCTTAGGTTTGGAGATTTCTCGTGCCAAGAAAGGAATTATTTTATCTCAAATACATTATACATTGCAATTACTTGAGGACATTGTCTTTCTAGCCTCTAAACCAGCGGCTATGCCTATGGATCCAAAGCTTAATCTCAATAATACAGATGGGGAACTTCTTCAAGATGTTACTCGGTATAGGAATTTGGTGGGCATATTTCTTTATTTGACATTATTTAGGTCAGATATAACCTATGTTGTTCATAGGTTAAGTCAATTTGTCTCACAGTCTAGGATCCCTCATTTACATGTTGTTCATCACTTGCTTAGATATCTCAAGAATCATCCAGGCCAAAGACTTATTTTTCCTTCTTCTTCTTCTCTTCAACTCAAGGCCTTTAGTGATGCTGATTGGGGAGGGTGTTTAGATACCCGTAGATCTGTAATTGGATTTTGCATCTTTCTTGGTGAATCATTGGTGTCATGGATAGCTAAAAAGCAAACTACTGTCTCAAGGAGTTGAGCTGAAGCTGAGTACAAGGCAATGACTTCCATTGCTGCAGAAGTTAGTTGGATTTCTCAGCTACTCACTGATTTGGGACTGCACATTTCTTCTCCTGCGTTACTTTTTTGTGACAACCAGGTTGTCATTCATATTGCTTCAAATCCCACTTTTCATGAAAGGACTAAACACATAGAGATTGATTGTCATTTTATCATAGATAAAATCACTTCTGGACAGATCAGGTTGATGCCCATAAGGTCACAAGATCAACTTGCGGACCTCTTTACAAAAGCTCTGCCTTCCACAGCTTTGCATTCCTTGTTGTCCAAGATGACAGTATTGGATATTTATTGGCCATCTTGAGGGGGAGAAATAAGTAATACGTTATTTTATTTAACCATAGTTAGTCTTTAACCTTGTATTAGTTAGTTTACTGGTGTATGGTAACTCTAGTTAGTAGAGTGTTTTGGAAAATAGGATTGTATAATACTTTACCTTTTCGTTTAGTTCTTTTTTGGTTACGAGAAAATATGTATCAAACTTCCATTTTCTTCAATAAAACTTGCTTCTTTTCCTTTTATCAATTCATGAGTTTTCTACTGTAAGAACTAAAGTAGAATCTATAGGAGTAAGCGTTCGCTCCTCCCCAGTATTATTTTTTAGAAGGATTTAAAACTTTAATTTTGGATCCGTCCCAAACAAAATTGTTTCCTGTAAAGGATACTTGTGGTTTATCAAAAAAAAAAAAAAAAAAAAAAAACTAATGTAGAATTTCACAACACTTAAATAACCCAATATATGGTTTGACCATCTGTAAATATTTGTGTGGGTGATGGCTTGAAATGTTATATTACGATGTTATTAAGTATTATAATATATCGCAGCTATCAGTGATGCAAGAGTCAAAATTCCCTAGGAGAAGAAAAATGAACAAGTGGCTTTATTGGTTCGGCCATTAATTAGTAAGTCTTTATGTGTACATATATAGGTGATGGCTAGAAATGGATGACATAAGGATGCGTCATAGGCTCATAGCAACAAAAAGAAAAGGATCCTAAGTATGAATGGAGTCGATGTTTCCGCAATGGATGAGATTCCCCAAACTCAAACTCTCGAGAGGTGAAAGAAAGAGAAGGCAGGCATAACATAGAAAGCAGATAACCATCAACTTAATTAACAAACAAAGAATGCCCTAAAAATTGGTGCATGCATATGATTTCGTTGTATTCATATATGTATCGAAGCACACTCTGGAAACTTGTACTGACGTTTTACAAACAAAAATATTGGCTTGCTTAGAGTACTTGTGGATTTGAGACAAAATGTTGAGACAAGCACACTTCGCATGGCCAGCCAAGCCAGGTAACAAAATCTTTGAGCATGTCTTCTCTCCTATGATCAGGTCTTCAACTTTGAATAATTTATTAGGACGAACTGTTCACAAATTAAATTCATCATTGAAAATATAATTCAAGTTTTTTTTTCACCAAAAAATAATTCCACTAAATTAATGTCTCAAAATTAATATAATATATGATAATAGCATATTTTTCAAATAAATGAATACATCAACTAAGTAAATTTATAAAAAAAATGTATTATGTGTTTAAGTTCTTTAAAGTTTGACATGTAATATCCAAATGAAAATTATATGTTTTAACAGTAAGATAGGCCTAATTTTTTTTATAAAAAGTTATTATTAAAATTGTTAATTCTTGTACGGATAATAATTGATATATTGCAATCAAGTATTCAGGTAATTAATTATATATAAATTTTATAGGTAAAATTAAGTTTGTAAAAAGAGTATTATAACATAAATGTGGGAAAAAAGAGTGTGAGGATAGAAGTTTCTACATTTGTTTCATTAGTTAAATACGTATATAGTTGCAATAAATGTTCATTTTCAATTTAATGAAAAAAAAATTAAGTGAAAGCTTAATGCAAAGTGGAAAAGTTTTATATAAAATGAATTCAAAGAGCTCATTATTCCTACTATATTTATGTGATGGGGATTATCGTAATTTGCTCACATACACACTGTCTACTCTTACCAATTTCTTTTTTTGTTTTGTATATAGGGATGTGTAAGCACTTGAAGACAGGTGGTCTTCGGAAAAAGAATTTCTTAAAGTAAGTGATTTGATATCACAATTTACTTCAACTTATAAGTTTATAACCAAGAGTGAATCACTTTCAGTTGTTCACTTCAAAAATCAAATACTTTATTGGAGGCTACTGAAGATCTAGCCAGTAGAGAATCAAATCTTAGGAATTATTATAGCATATGGTAATGTCTAATCTTGGAGCCGCTGCCACTTTGGAATATTACCAATTAATTGATTGATTTAAATAAGATTTTGATTCATATAATTTTTAATTACTCATTTTAAATTAAATTTGATCCTTCTACTTTTTTATTTTTTATTTGTATGTTTGGTATATCTATATTCTCACTGATTTAGCTTTTAGTCGTTATAGTATCAGTCTTTATAATTTACATCATTTAGATCTCACATCTTATAAATTCTATTCATTAAGGTATTAGTTGCTATTTTCCAAGAAGAATTGGTCCCCATGATTTTCATTTATTAAGGTATTAATGTTTGAGGAACTGAAATTCAATTAAGTTAAAATATGAGGACTAATAACAACAAAAATAATTTATAAAAGTAAAAAACTAAATGAGTAAAAATTACAGGCCGGGAAAAAAATCTTATTAAAAGTTAATTGATTTTACTGAAGGTTGCATATTAATTTGAAATTTGATTTTAATTATGACAATATATATATATATATATATATATATGTGTATATATATAATTCAATTATCAATTGCCATCTTTTCTTTCTCATTTTTAGAATTTGTACATGCTATAATTTTTAATTTGCATGTAGCTTTATGATTTCTGTAATTGATTAAATCAGTAATCTCAAATATTATCCATTTGAGTAATTTTTGAAATGTGCCTTTTTATTTCATTTTCCTTATTTTTAAAAAATTTATTATTTTTTATGCAATGATAGTGATAATATAGATGTTTAAAATTAAAATATCTTATAAATTAACCCTTATAGTTTTCCAAAAAAAAAAATATACCCTTATATATATTAAATTAGAGTATATTTTTTATAATAAATAAATTTTTTTGTCTTGCATGCTACTCTCCTTTAAGAATGATATATGTTATTCTTAACCTTATTTTTTAAGTTTTTCAAATATTAAATTTTAAAGTTAAATATACTTGTCTTTTTTATAAATTTATAAATTTTTCTCTTTTAATCTGTACTTTTAAAATTTATATAAATTTGAAAATACTAGTAAAATGTATAAAAACATAAATTTTATATCATTAATTGGTTCCTAGGGCCTTATTTATTTGGGTTCAGTTTAATGCTTCAGTGACCTGATATTGATATATAATTGACCATGAATACCCAACATCTGAAAAGGTTAGAATGTACGATCCGCAGAATGTATATTAATTTTTAAACAGTAGAATGCATTTTCATCTTTGAATTTTCAAACCTGAATTTACAGTAGCCTTTCTATCTTACCGACAGTTTAATCATACAAGTTAAAAAGTTTAACAGTAAAATTGAAATTTTTTTTTTTTATAAACAAATTGTGAGTTTTTGTGAATTGGGTGAATTTTGAATCACACTATATGATTTAACTTACATTTTTCTTAGCTGCCATACTCTTTTCATCTATTATCACTATTTTTCTTTTAATTAATTAATTGATAACAAAAAAATTAAGAAGGCAGAGTAACACATTTCAAAATTATGAGGTAATAAAAGTGAAAATGGTAAGTATGTGAATTTTTACTTTAATTTTTTAGTTTCCTCTTTTGATTTATATATACCTCATATAAACAATAAAACGTAATCCATATCGGACTTAAATGTTCTTTCAAATTAAAGTCCTACAACTAAGTTTGACACAGTCTTGAAAACAATGGTGAGAAGGGATTGAGTACGGTATTAAATTGGGACCTAAAGGCATGGAGCTCAGCTTACCCAAAAAAAAAAAAAAAAAAAAAAAAGGCATGGAGCTCATGTGACAGAGACAGATTGCATTAAATACAATAGGTTTGGTTGAATAGAACTATTTATTTATTGAGAATGATATAATTGTACACATTAATTAGGCTGGCTTACTGGTAACACTGGATGAGTTGTACACTTAAGCAGATGAGCAAAGAAGGAAAATGGTGACCGATGATTTCGTATGGGCAAGAAAGTGACTTTACAAATAGAATTAGGCAAGTTAATTTATTATCATTGTGTATACATATATATATATATATATATGTATATAAGGTGAATTGGTAACGTTTTTTCTAAAGCTGAATGGTGGTGAATATTTGGGTGTTAGTGAGGAAATAGCTTCTTCCCTGGGGGGTTCAACAACCAACTACCTTTTTTTTTTCTTGGCCAACAAATGCTTTTAAGTGAACAATCAATTTTGCTCTCTCTCTCTCTCTTCCTCTGCCTCTCTGGTTTAGTGTTGAAGTTTTAATTTAAGAGAGGCAATCCCACACGCTTTGATCAACCGAAAAATAACTAAAGGAAAGGAGGGTCTACTTGTTTGTGTCCACTACTACCCTTAAGCTAGCTATGCCAACATCCTTTCTCTGTTGCCTTTGCAAATTTTAGTACCTTCATTGGCTCAACATTTTTATTTTCATTCATTCTCAACTCTATTTAGGATACATATATGATCAAATCTTCAGTTCAACCAACACCACCTTCTCTCATTAAATTAATATATTTTACTTCATTGTTATGAGTTTTGTCCCACTCAGCTTCTTCTTTTTCCCTGTGTGTTTCTTTGTTTGTGTGATCTGCATGCAAATGGATGTAATGGGAAAAACAAGATCCGTTCTTACATTGAGTGGAAGAGTTTTGAACGAGGCACTGAGCTTCATTGTTTTCTGTGTCCTCGACCTTGTTGATTTTCTTTTGTGTTTTCTTTTCAAAGCTGTGGACTTGTTGATTGAGGCAGAGTGGAGACCCTGCTATTGTTCTTCCACAAAGGATGCAATCACAAGCTGTGGAGAGATCTTGGTTTCTGAACAAGGTGGAGAATCCAAGATCGTTTCACTGAGCTCAACCAAGTTACACTTGGAGGACATTTCAGATACCCTTTACTCTCGTCCTTCTTTGGTGTCTGAGGTTTCAAGGTTAACCCTCAATGAACTCAAACGCTTCAAGTTAGAGGACCCCATTTTACAATCCAAGAGAGGGAGCTCCCATTGTTCCACCACATTCACAGTGAACACACCAATTGTGGAAATGCTACAAGGTAAAATTGGAAGGCAAGAAGTTCATCCCATTCCAAGATGGTCTGATTGTCACTGCAAACTATGCACATGTTGGATCTCATCTTCTTCTTCATCATCACCTACTACCAATAATAGTAAAAACACTCTCTTTGTAAATGCTCAAGGCCCCAGCATAGGTAACATCATTTTCAACTTATCACTATCATGTTATATACTAGTTCATTATAAAAAAAAAAGTGTTGATGTACATTAATAGTTAATTAATGACATGACATGACATGAGTGTGTGTATGTATATATGTATGTATCAGATGAAGCAAGAGAAGATGTGCTGTTCATTCATGGGTTTATATCATCGTCATTGTTTTGGACGGAAACATTGTTCCCAAACTTCTCGAGTGGAGCAAAATCAAGTTATCGGTTATTTGCGGTTGATTTACTTGGTTTTGGGAAAAGTCCAAAACCGAGTGAATCGCTATACACATTAAGAGAGCATTTAGAGATGATAGAAAGCTCTGTGTTGGAAGCCCATAAGGTGAATTCATTCCACATCGTGGCCCATTCATTAGGAAGCATTTTGGCTCTTGCTCTTGCCGTCAAGCACCCTCACTCTGTCAAGTCACTAACCTTGCTTGCCCCTGTAATTATCTTCCATCCTCTTCATGTTTTTACTTATATTTTTAAAAAAAATTGGTTATAAACTTAATTATATATTTTCGAAAATACACTCGTTTAAGAATGTATTTCTAATAATATATAATATAGTTTGTAAGAGTATAACTTATTTTTTTTTATAATATTATCAATATTCATTCTTTCTTTTTTGTGTTATTTTTTTATTAATTTTTTATTACCTTATTAACAGCCTTTCTATCCAGTACCAAAGGGTGAAGCACAGGCGACACAGTATGTTATGAGGAGAGTTGCTCCGAGGCGCGTGTGGCCACCCATGGCGTTTGGAGCGTCGTTAGTGTGCTGGTACGAGCACATAACTAGGATGATTTGCTTGCTCATTTGCAAAAACCACCGCTTGTGGGAATTTCTAGCCAAACTCATTACTCGAAACAGGTACATACATAAATTCACACCGTCTTTTGTTTCTATATAGATGTTTCAGCTTTATTACTTCTCTGTCACTCAACCACGCAACTACTCATTTCATCTGTTTCATTATTTACAAGTTTCGTCCATGTTTAGATGGCCCGTTTTTGACTTTCAGTTTTTGTTCTTTTTCTTGGTATTTTCTCAAGACCCTTATATGTAACTTGATTTTTATAAGTAATGATACTTGGATAAAATTATATTCGCATATTATAAAATTCTTAGATTGCACATTGGTCATGTAATTAATGCAAATATCTTTTTCATTCACTTTTTAAACTCTTTAAATCGTACCCTTGGGCGACAGATGTGGACACTGTTCATTTCTTTATAAAAGTATGAGAAAAAAAATTTGCTGTTACATTGGGAAAAAAGAACGGAAGGGATGATTATGACATTGAAGTTTGAAGAATTATTATATTTTTGAAAATGAAAAAATATGTATATTTATAAGGGTACCGAGTAAGTTGCTAAACATTTGATAGTTGTTGTTTTTATTATAAATGTTCGATAATTAATTAAATATAATAGTAAATATTTAACTACTTACTCTTTAAGTATTCTTAAAAACAGAATGCTAGAATAATTTAAAAAAAAAAAACAATGATTTTGTTAACTTTTTTGTTGTTGTAAAGATAGGTTAATAAAGAAAAAATATTATCATATTAAATATCTAAAAAATTCTTATTTTTTTAAAAAAATAAAATATTAAATACTTTTATTTTTCATTTAATATTTATTTTTAAATTCTTAATATGTATCCTGAATGCACGTGATACCAAATCAAGACCACCGAAAAAAATAAAAACGGTCGTGACAGAAGACCACGCTTATAAATCACAAGATCGAAGTGTGCTTTAAGCCATAGTCTCTCGTTCTTTTTTATTTGGGGTTGTCAAACTTTAAGCCACAACTCACGTCTTCAAATATGTGGATTTAATTTGAGTCTACACATCTTCAAACATGTGGGTTTAAAGTTTTTCAATTCTTAGCTAGGTATAAGCAAATATAAAAACTGATATGTATAAAGATATGAGGTAGATAGCTATGAAGTTAAGTAAGCTTGTTAAATGAACTCAATTTCTTAATAGACTTTTATATATAATAATAATTATTAATGTGAGTGTTTATAGTAAATCAAGTTTGAGAATTACTGTGTGTAGGAATATCCTTCCATTCTAATATTCCATCTTATCTCAAAAATTGAAAGATGGAGTTCAAAGGCCCTGATCAATCAATTTCAGCAGTTTTCTTCTTTAATGTTTTGGTACTCTTTCTCTTGTTCTTTTAAGTTTGTTTGACTAAACCATATTGGGGTACATATTTGGTTGAATTTAAGATTCTTGTCCCCGCGCTGCTTGGGTAGCATAAGTCAAATGTGTCAGAGACTGAGCGTAGTAGATGAAGTCAGAAGGTTTTATGTTTGCATTAATTAGAAGTTAGAGAACCCCTTTAATTGATTCTGAGTTTGCTGGTCATGAATGATGTTGTTCATTTCAAGTGTGCTGGTGAGTGGTGACACAGATCTTTAGCTAATTAATTAACTTGACATTTTATATTGATCATTGATGCACTACTCCAATGCCTTACAGGATAAGGACTTTCTTGCTTGAAGGGTTCTTTTGTCACACACACAACGCAGCCTGGCATACCCTACACAACATTATATGTGGAACTGCGGGAAAAATTGGATCATATTTGGATGCTGTAAGAGAAAACATAAATTGTAAAGTTACCATATTCCATGGCAAAGATGATGAGGTTATCCCTGTTGAATGTAGCTATGAGGTCCAAAGAAGAATTCCTCGTGCCCGTGTTAGAATCATTGACAACAAAGATCACATAACCATTGTTGTTGGAAGACAGAAAGCTTTTGCTCGAGAATTGGAGCAGATTTGGAGCTCTACAAACAACTAGAATTTAAAAGCTGCATGTCGTGCCAATGCACTTGCTTCTAGCAGCACTCCTTGATTAGATTTCTGTTCAAACTTTTCCTCTGTCAATTCAAGAATTGTATCTTTTCTCATAAATCACTTATCACTTGCTTATTACCCATAAAAGAAAATCACATATCACTTCAAGTAAGCATTGGTTCTCCAAAATAAAATACCAAGTGCAATCATTATACTACTCAAATAATACGTGTCCAAAGCCTTCAAACTGGGAGGTTTTCCTTGTCCACAATATCATTATTATTGACAACGAGTTTGTAGTTGAATTGACATTGGCCCCAATCTCTATGATTGAAATGTGAAAATAATATTAAAAATTTTAATAATTAATATGACATTTAATGTGGTATGGGCTCTAAACTTCAATCCACCCTTAGCCTAAAAAGGAAAAAAATTAATTAATAAAAAGTAAAATCATTTCTGTAGCCGTTTTACGTACAGTAATAAGTATGGTTACGATTTTCTATATTTAATGCTGTCATATTTTATATAATTATGATTCTCCGCATTTAATGTTTTCAAGTATATATAGCAAGTATTTGATTGTTGCACGTACAGCAGCAGGAGAAATATAAACCCCTTAATAAAATATCATATATGTACTCTCTCTTGTAAGTTATACACAGTCGCAATACACAAAAATTAAACACAAAATAACACATTATTTCACAAAATCACGATCGTCCCATTTCTTATTCCAAGACAATCAAAACATTTGTTCGGAATATGACCCATTTTTATTTACTCGTTACTATTGTCTTTTTTTAATATATATATATATATATATATATATATATATATATATATATATATATTCCAATGGATTCATCGTTTCGTAAATAATTTGATTCAGAGCAAATTTAAAATTAAAACTTTAAATTTTTCTAAAAAAAATAGGGCAAATTACAGAATACCACCCTGTACTTAGGTGCTTTATTAAAAAGACACCTTGTACTTTCAATTAAAACAATTACCCACCTTACACTATAATTTTAAATCAATTAAACATATTTATTTATTTTAAGACAAAATTAACCCTATCCTCAATCACCATACTCATGATTGTTCAGCGTCCACCACCAACCATCCATTTTCACTAGTCGTACATTTCGAGTTAAACGAAAATAAAATTGTGATTATGCCCTGTCACTTTTTCTCTCTGCTTATTGTACAATGGTATCATGTAATTGTAAGACAAAGGAAAAAAGAGGGCTTCTCGCCCTCTCTCTGCTTTTTATGCCTTCTTTTAGATCTTAGATTTCATCTATTTCTCATCTGCGTTGTCCTTATTTGGAAAGTTTTCTCTTCTAATGCTTTGTTTTTCATCTCACATGGTGGTGAGATACCCAAGAATAAATATCCAATAAGAACCCATTAGATTCAAAATACGATGTTGGAATTGCTATTCTTGCCAGTCCTGTAATTCCTTACATAAATTATTAAATAATTCTTGATTACAGTTTGACACGAATATTGCAGTTCATAGTGAGTTAAACTAGCTTTCAAATGATACTCTGGTTTACATTGTTCAATTATCATTCGTAACCTAAAAATTAGAACATAGTTATCCAAAAAAAAAAAAAAAATTAGAACATATAGCTCTGCCATCTGAATCAGAGACATGAAGTTGGGGGACAATGTTTCCAGACCATAAAGGCTCTTAATTGCTGTACTGAAATTTTGAATAAGCAAGAAACTAATTTCACCGGAAACACATCGTTGAATCAGCAATATTAAAAAATAGTGCAACTATCAGGATGTGCACACTCACCCTATCTTTCCCTTACCCAATCCCAAATTCCAGATGCTACCTTAGTATAACAGTAACACCATATATCTGACTATTTTAGAAAAGCAAGATATTGCTTCAATTTACTTAACATATATTTTCATTCTCTTCTTTGCCAGAAAATTGTGTTTCTTCTTATATGACATAGACCCATAATCACCATTTTTTTTCTTCATTAAACTGTGGATGGACGGGAAGTGAAAAATGGTGGTTGGTGGCGAAGGCTGAGTTATGGGTGTGGTGATTGAGAACAAGGTTAATTTTGTCTTATAATTAATAAATATGTTTAATTGATTAAATGTTATAGTGTAAGGTGGGTAATTGTTTTAATTGAAAGTACAAGGTGCCTTTTTGAAAAAATACCTAAGTACAAGGTGGTATCATGTAATTTGCCCAAAAAAATAATAATATCAAAAAGTATCCAACACATACTCGTTAACCAGGCAGCTATGAGTGACTGCACCGTTTTAAATGAGCTGTCATAATAGCAATAAAAGCTCATCACACATGCAAGACCGACTGAGCTGAACCATGAATTTTGACTATTTTTATAACTTTAATTAAAAAGAAAGGTTTACATGTTCTCAGGGGCATACGTTAAGAAAAATGAATATTATTTAACACTCTTTATTAATTATCTTAAAATTAATAAAAAATTTAATGCTGATATTTTTTATTCATTTTTATTCTATAAAGATAAACGTTAACAAAAACACAAAATCCTTAAAAAAAAATGTACCTCCTTTTAGTGGGAGTGCAAATCCCCGACCGCGTTTGATAGTCTAGATTCCTGGTCATTAATTTACCGATCAAATTAGTCAGGTGAATTGTGTCTCAAAATTATGATCGAAACAACAAAATTTTAATGTTAGAAGCCGCACATCGGACACGTTCAACATATTCAGAACTAAAATATTAGGGGTCCTTTATATCTTGGAACTCGACAATGTACATTAATACTTTTGTTTAATCCTAGTGGATCGAAGCTTCTTGTTGGATCTTGGGGCTTAAGAGTATCTACAGAGGAGACGATCATTATGCACAATCAATCCTAGTGGATCGAAGGTTTCTGTTGGATCGAAGGGTGCTAACAGTGTCTATAGAGGAGACGGTCATAGGTAGCAGCAAATCACTATGTACAACGAGGAGCAGAGAGCCAATAAAAAGGGATAATGTATGTTATTCATGTATACAATAATAGTAATGGGACTTGGGTGTTTCAGGATGCATACATGTGAAGTGAAAGGATTTCTTATCTGAGAGTGGATTTGAACTGTATGTCCAATCATGAGGTCCATTATACTCCTCCATAAGAAGTTTTGTCCAAAGATGTAAATAAACAAAAAGATATAAATGAAAAAAATAAAATAAATGTTGGTGAATCAAAATTTAAAACCATAAAATAGAATAAATAATTGATTTTCATTTTCTTGTTAAAACTTAGGTTAATATAACACTGTTAAATTACTTTCATGCCATAACACTGACTTAGAAATACAAACGAGCTGCAACTTACTTTTGGTCAACCCACATTGATTTAAAATAAATTGTTCACATTTTCATCACATGGATAACATACTAGATTTTGCTTCAAACGCTTCGTTTACGATGGTAATGCATGTATCAAATTATCAATGAAAGGTAGAAGCATACATGCTAAGAATAAAAATGAAGCTTAGCAAATTTACGATTATTAATCTATACATTATTTCTGATACATTAATGATTTGATTATTGTCTACTGTTCATATAGCTACTGAGAAACATATTCCAAAGTTCAAGTTGAATTTCTTCACTGTGTTGCCATTAGTGCGTTCCAAAGAGATCGAGAGATTAGCTGTTTAGAGGCATATGCGTTCCAATTAACCCACCTGCTTGAAATGGCAAGTAGTTCATTTTCGTTGGACGCTAATCCTGGATCACATTTTTAAAAGCAGACTTGGGAAATCACAAGATTGAGAAATGGCAAGCCTAAATAATATACAACAAGAACCATTACAATCATCAATCAATAACAGCTGCCAATCAGTAATTATCCTATAGTGTAATCCCCGGCTCCCAGTGGCTAAGGGTAGTTACTAAACTAGGGTTTCCTAATTAAATGCAATTGCAAATTCCTTTTTGCTCTCTAACTGAATCCAGAGTCACTTACAAATTCTACATAACCTACTCAGTTATGCCTCATGCATGAAAAAGGCACACCATACTACCTAAAATATTTACACTATTGATACAATGTTACATCACACCAATCACCAGTAATCCATCCCCCACTAGACAAGGTCACAAAGACAGCACGGTGAAGATTGACTGCAAGCCAAGAAGTTTATATTCTTGCAAAAAACCTGTTGAGATATTTAGCCACTTGAAAATCAGGCACTACCTGCCTCATCTGATGTACTTCCTGCTGGACATATTCTGCCAACCTGAATTTCATCCTCACTAAACATGCTCTCTTCACTGGAATTGGAGAATTGACCGACATCCTCCTCGGTTAGCGAGTCAGCTTTTTGTTTCCTCCTGACATCCTTTACTGCTCTTCCCTGAAGAGCCAGGCGCCTGCGTTTTCGAGCTTTACGCTTGCCTTTAGGGAACTCTTCTTTTTGCAGCTCAAAGTTCTTCCCTTCAACCTCCTTTGCAGTTCTTCCCTTGCCATATCCGTTATCATCAGATTCTTCAGCATCCAGCTTACGCCTTTTCCTATTAGAATTTGTCTGAAACATTGATTCATGTTCAGATTCGAAGCTTCCCCAACAGTAAATACAGTAGCAATGTCACACAAAGTAAATGAAGATAAAAGCAGGTCACATTGCAAAGGGATGACGATGAGAATAAAAGAGTGAGCTTCTAATGTATCATATTTTGGATGAATGCAATTGAACTAAGGAATATTAACTAACAATGATATTTTACTACCAGTAGCTCACAAACATCAACTCTTCCTCTGAACCTTGAACTTCTGGTGTTCCCTCACAATTGAGTCCACATATTTTCTTATAGTGAACAACAGATTTCAACAGGTTCAGTATGAATGACAAAAACAGATTTCAGCGATCACACTCTCTCAATTCTATCCCGGCATTTTCTCTAACTTTTTATCATTTTCTCTGCAACACAAGCTCTAATCAAGGTTGTATATCTCTTGGTCCTCTTTGGCCATTTCAATTGTCAAAATTCATAATCAACTGCAGACAGACTATAAATGGGACACAAACAGAAAGAAAATAGAGGCCAATTTCGTAAGGCTGGAGAATGATCAAATATGACTAACATAGCAACTCCTGGCTAAAGCCAAATGCTTTATGTGGCAACAATAAAAAAGTACAACCAAGGTTCCAATTATTCACAAAACTATAGAGCACATAATTCTAAAGCAAATTTGTTAGGACAATATGCTTAGTGGCAAACAATAATTCGATCCTCCTTCACTAGGTGTGGGTTTTTGAAAATGAGATCTTCTTCAGGATTCAATAAGCAATAGAAGGTTGAAGAGTGATAACGACAATTACATCTGCATACCTTTGGACCACGATCAACCAACCTTGCCCATTCATGTCGGTTCCTCAAGCAATCAAGAACAGCCTGAGAGTGACTTGTGTATGCATAACGCTCTCCATTATGCTTCCTCAAGTTCTGCCAGTGCTGTAACACGAAACATAACAACAAACAAACATGTTGTTCAAGGACAACTTATTTCAACTCAAAAGCAATAAATGAACAAAAGCAGAAACCACAAAAACAACACTGACAAAGAATAAAGAACCATACCGGTAGCACAGCATTACAGAGTTCCTCATATGTCATACGCTTGCCTTTGCTCATAATATCATTAATCAAGCCTGCATTTGGATATATATTTATATAATAAGAAACTATCCACAAACTGCACAATAAAAGCAACAGTTCTTTTTCTTTTCATTTTCTATCTTGGCAAAAAATAAAAATAAAACTCTGATATTCAGTGTTTGCCTGGCTACAAGTTACAAGAGCTGATCATGCCCAGACCTACGTGCACATATGGTACAACCTAGTGACTATATAAAAGTAATTTTTATGATAAAATCTATATTAAATTTGTCGAGGTACTCCACACTGAAACTGAAGCTTAGATAATTGAAAGAGTTTTATTAGCCCAGCAAGTAAAATTTTCTAAAATCACTGATTTATTAACCAACAATGATTAATCCTATATCAAGATAGCAGAGGAAGGGAACATGCTTTAAAAATTAAAACAAAAACAAACAGAACAGTCATTATCTCCCTGACAGGAAGCTACCAGGTAAGGTACGGTGAACTGGCCTTCCAGCAGTTGCAGTATCATCATCAGATAAATTCTGATCGTCAGGAGGGGAGGGTGGACTAATGTTTGCAATCGCAGAGGCGGCAGAAACAACATTGTCAGTGATAGAGTTTACAGCTGTCATAGATGCAAGGCCTTCTTCCTTTACAGATGCATCTTCCACATATGCCATATCTTGTTTCCTTTGATCAGACGAAGATGAACCCTTCTCCTTCTCTGTCCTTTTAGCTTCATCTTCAAGTTCTCGAGGACTACAAAACCCATCTCTAGATGCATCCTTGGATTTTCGTCTAGATCCCTGTGCAACTCATAATGGAATTAGTCACCAATACAGAGCCAAATTGATCATCTTTATTGTTAAAATTTACAAAAATTCTAGAAACAAAATTGGTATATGAAGCCATATTTATCAATTTTAATTGTTGGCACAATCCTACCAAATAATGATCTTTTCCTCCAACCGATGATGTTCGCTTCATTAGCATGCTTGTAGCACTAGTAGAAGTCAACTGTGGCAAACTACCTGCATGGCGTGCTCGGGGTACACGAGGTACACGGGGCGAACTATTCAGTTCTTGATGCAATAGCAAAGCAAGCTGCCAACAAATAAAACAAAAATAAATAAATAAATAAAATAGAAGAGAAAAAGAAACAGGAAAGCAAATTCTGTTAGAGAAACTTCTTTGAAACTTAATTAGGAAGCTAGAAGTCCAGCTCAGACCTCTTCATCACTCAGCATTGAAGAATTTGAAGTTGGAGAAGGATTCATTGATAGCACGTGACTCTGGTTCAACTTAGAGGAAGAAAGGACGTTTGTTTGGTTAAGCTTTTCAACTTTCTGTGGAACTGAAGATGAAATCTTATTCTGCACTGGTAAAGCCTTTTGATGGTGCAATGATGCATTAACCTCACTATGTATCAGAGATGGCTTAGAAGATGAACAATGAACAGAATCTCTCGCATCTGAATTTACTTGCTTTGAAACAGAATTTTGCGTACTCCTGCTTGAATGCAATCCTTTTGAATTAGAATTTAAAGAGGATTTTTGTCGCTCTCTTACAGGCTTCCTTGGAATTTCATCCCTTGCAGCATCACTCGAACAACTTTCATTCTTTATGTGGATGTTACAATTATCCATCGCTCCATGTTTTATAAAAGAATTGGGGATTTCAGTATCTTCAGATTTAAAGTCATGAGCCAATGATCTGGATTTCATGGTTGACGTGTGTGGACATCCAAGTGCTTCAATTTTTGATGGATCTTTAGCAGAATCCGAACCATCTTTTGTTTCTGAAAAACCCTTTTGTGTTTCCAATGAACCTTCAGACCCCTCCAGTTCTTGTTTTCCATGACAAAAATCACCAGATAATTCATCAGGTTTATTGGTAAGATCATCAGCAACTACTTCTGACAATATGTCAATATCTCCCACCTTATTTTCAGATGATGGTAAACTGGGAAATACAGCATCATTCACTTTAACAATATCAGAAGTGTGATCACATGGTTTTTCATTATTTTTAAGATCACTTATAGGAGAAGAATGAAAATTCAAGATCTTCCTAAAACTATCATCATCTTCTTCTCTATTCACCTTAACTTTGCATTTTGCAGGGCTAGGACGCAGGTTACAGTCAAAATCTTGAGAAACTTGGTTCTCCACAAGTTCGGGTGCAGAACCACAATGATCTTCTATGTTAGGACTCACAGTGCTTCTTACTACTAAAGTATCATCTGCATTATCAGCTGCCAAGCAATCTCCGTCCTTGTTTGTAGGAGCAAAAAATGTCATCAGAATGTAGTGTGAGATCAAGTCTACAGGCATACAAGACAAAACAAAACAATCCATAAAGCTATGCATGTACAAACCAAGTAAAAATGTTTTTAAATGGTGATAAATAAAAAGTTTCAGATGTTAGCAAATAGAGGAAGGCTCCCAGGCTGAAATTTCAAGTATCACATATTCAGGCAAAATTACAAGCTCTAAGTATTTGAAGCAAATGCATTGATGGAAGATCCTACTCTGTTTTTTTTTTTTTTTTTTTTTGGGAGTTTGGTTTAGGTAGGCCAGCATATGATTTTTTTTTCCTATGCTAAGCCAGAAATTTTTAATTTTTATTTATTCATATTCTTTTTCTTTTCTTTTTTGAAGAGGGGGGGGGGGAGGCTTACCATTTTAAGTTAGTATTCAGGAGATACAAAAAAAATTATTAAATTTTATTTCCTGATTTGACTACCAAGCTTTTTTAAATTCAAGACTTGAAGTCTTTTGATTTAATTGTCAATCTGGATAGAAGGCACACCATGTGAACGCCCTTTCTTAATCCATTTTAAAATTCCAATACTTTCGCTGAGGTTAAGGCTAAACTTAAGGTTGAAGAATAAAGTGGAAGAGGAAAATTAAGAAATGAATACTGCATCATATAGTCTAACTCTAAACTCTTAAGCTCTCAAAAGTTAGTGCCCAATAGGGGATCTCAAAAGTTAGTGCCCAATAGGAGATTATTATCAGATATCAAGCGCACTATAACATGCATATTCTTAGCTCTCAATTATCATTTCCCTTTAATCATTTATCATCAGATAGCGAGAAACAAGTAGACAGACAGTTGCCATAAAACAAGAAACTAGCACACATAGCCCAACATTGATGCTAACTTATTATACACAGAATGGACACCAACAGTATTTCCAATTGACACATAATAATCACAAAAAACAGAATATCACTTGCCAAACTTTGATTATAGAAATGACAGCAATACATACCTTTTCTTCAACTGAAGTATTTCCAACATAATTATGCTTTAAAACTGATGTAACAGCATCATCAGTCTTAGAAGACATCTCAACCAAACTAGGATCTTTATGGCCAGTCTTTTCTCCTGCTAATACATCTCCAACAGAAAGACTATGTCTTGTTGTGTCAGGATAAAAGGCTTCTGAAGAATCCTCAGTAGCTGTCAAGTTGTTATTTGGCTCTTCCACGATGGTATCCACAGCAAAATAATCATTCAAACTATATTCCTGAACCACAATGTCTTTTAAGTTTTTATTCCTTATGCTCCGATTGCCAGCCTTGAAAATCTTCGGACCTCTGTCTTCATAAAATTCCAATTGTTTTGCATCACTGGTGGGTGTAAACGCTAGTAATCAAAATGAGAAGGGAAAAAAAAGATCGAGTCAACAAGCGCATGTCAAGTATTGCAAGATGTGAAGCACCGCCATAGTTGATGACGTTCACCCATGAGCACAATGAAACAAGAACATAGATAACTTTTTCCCAGTAACTGGTAATAATAGTAACAAGATGGAATCACTAAGACAGAGATCTTGATGAAGAAATGGAATCTGAGGGAAAAATCAATCGCTATAAGAAAGATAGTTAACATTCTGCGAACATATTGACTTAATCAACCACTTTTTGAAATTTAAAAAAAAAAAAAAAAAATTAGTGTGATAATGTCCATATCTAGGCCAAGGTTTTCATTTTAGCAATTCTCCAAGATAACAATAGCATTTAGTATAGCACAAAAAAGGGCATAAAAAAGCAAATCAATTAACCTGTTTTAGAAGAATGTGAACTTCTCCTCTTGAGATCTACCTCTTTATCAGGAGTCTTAACCCGCTTCTTCCCACTCCTGTCTTTGGAATTGGAAGTCCCGAAGTCCTCTTTCCTTCCCTTACTGCTATGAACAACAAGAGGCCTCAGCAAACTCCTCTCCTTCTTAATGGAATTGTGGGCATACGGTGTATCTTCACTGCCACTGCCTAAATTGCTCATGTCCTTGAAAGACGTCTTGCTGTCATCGCCATCCCTGGATCTCATGTCAACCAAAGCCGCAACAGGGGAAGCCAAGACAGTAGTAGTCTCTTTCGAGAAAGAGAACAAAACCCCAGCCCCATTATCATTATCTTGTGCATTCTCATTCTCATCCCAAGAAGGAAACTCCCTATACTGAAAATTAAACTTCTTGGGAACATAACCAGTGCATTTCCATAAGTGTGGACTGAAAATCGAGGAAACGCTCTTGCCGGCAAAGAGAGAAGGATCACCACCGGGGATTCCTTGAACGTGAACCCTCTCCTCCATGGGTATATCAGTCCAAAGCTTGAAAGGGCGGCGCGAATGAGATGCAACTTTCGATGCAAGAGAATTGCTATTCTCCAAAGACATAGTCTTTGTGGGGAGCTCGATTAACAATTGGGCAACCTCAGTTTCCTCGGTGTTATTCTCAACTCGGTTGTTCTTGCTCTTGCATTTGTCGCAGACGAAGGTGTCGTCCCCCTTAACATAACGAGAGCAGCGCGTGTGCACCCACACGCCGCACTCGTCGCATTTCACCATCTCTTCGCCGTCGTCGAAGTTGACGCCGCAGATGCAGTCCACGGTCCAGGTACCGTCGACCCATTCGTCCGGTGGGTCCGAACTCTGAGGGCGGTGAGATCGCCCTTTCATTGTTGCGGTTTGCGATCTAGTTTTTGGTCACAATACCTTATTGTCCTAAACCTAATTCAACACCTTATTGAATTGAGAAATTGAAGGCACGGGTTCGGGTTCGGCATCAGATATAGAAGAGTACCTGAAATGAAATTGTGATTGAGAGCAGAGAGAGGAAGGTTTTGCGTTGCGTTTCGTCAGCGACTGTGGTGGATGGGAAGTGGATCTCCGGTCGAATTTCTCTCTCTCTTTCTCAATCCACAACCACGCACGGAGATGGCGAAGCTGAAAACGAATGCGTTTTTCGGTTTGTGTTGTATTGGATTTTATTGGGCCGGACCAAGTTGGTACAGATCCAGAATATGCCGGCCCACACCATCGTGGGCTGAAACCCATATGTTAACAAGATAACTATAAGGGCAGTGGGGAGTGGATCATGTGTTAATTAACATGACCATGTCATGTGGGGCAATCATAATCATACATGGGTATGTTAATGGTGATAAAGGAGGAGAGAAAAAAATATAAAGATAGGAAGTTATAAAATCATCACCGCTGATTTAATTATTAATGGCTAAGATCCTTCCACATGACATGATTATGTTAAATTACACATGAAAGGATCTATTTCCAAGGGGTGTGACGTATAAGGCTTGATAGTATAAGCTTATACTATACGTTATGATATTTTCAGTTGTTTGGTGTGACCATCGTATAGTATAAGCTTATACAGCAGAATCCCTTGATACATCAAAACGATGTATAACTTAATCCGACCTAAGGGCCTATTTGGTGTGAGGTATAAGGCATGATAGTATAAGCTTATACTATACGTTATGACATTTTCAGTTGTTTGGTATGACCATCGTATAGTATAAGCTTATACAACATAATCCCTTAATACATCAAAATGATGTATAACTTAATCTGGCCTAAGGGTAAGGGATAAGACCTGATAAGAGATTGATGTATTAACATCGTTGACCAATGTAATTATCAAAAATTAATATATTATTTTAATATTAATCTATTAAAATAAAAATATATTTTTCAATATATTAATTTTTAAAATATTGAATATTCTTATTTTTATAAAAATTAATTTATATTTTGGACACACTGATCAATAAATTTTTATAAAAATTAATATCATATGATATTTTTTGAATAATTATATAAATTCTTTATTAAAGGATATTTTTATTAAAAATATTTGTTTTTATCCTATATAGTATTATACAGTGTAAATACTAGATGATATATCTTATACAATATATTATTTTATACAATATCATGTCAAACGCTGGATAGTATTAAAATTTAATCAGGTCTTATACAATCAGGCCTTATCTTATACTATGCACCAAACATGCCCTAAAGACTAGTTTGGTCTTTGAATGACGGGGATGTTACAAAAATAAACAAATAAGAATATTGTTTTTTTTTTATGTAGCATGAAGTAATATCTTTGTACCATATATATAACAAGTGGTGGTGGAACTCATCACTTGTTAAAAAAAAAAATTACCACAAATTTTAATACCTCACAACATAAAAAAATTGCATGATACAGAAGCTTCATATCATATATTGTTATCTTAACAAATAACAACTATTGTTGTATTACTGTCTGTTTCCCTGTACCTTTTTGTAACAAAGAACCCAGCACGAGTGGTTGGTTGTTGTAGGTAGACCCAACTCGTAACCCGAATTCGTCAACCCCAACAAGAGATGGATTAGTCAGCCCAAGTATCTCTCTTATTATGTAGTGGGGTAGAAGCTACATGGGCTAGCTGGTTATTGTTCCCTTATTTACTGGATATTTTATTTTAGCCCAATGATGTATAACCCTAATTATTTAAAGACCAAATGAATGGAGGAAGGGCAAGCGAAATTTCAAATCAATTCCCCTTCTGTGACAATGACCACATACGGCACAATCCCAATAACCTCGTCTTCGGTGTCGACGGACACAAATTTCATCTTACGTGTCAAAGAAAAGATCAAAGCTGAGCTGGTCAATGCCAAGATCATGTTGAATTTTCCATCGTGCATCGTCAATTACGCGATTTACTGACACCTGATGATGTTCCTTGGCAGCCTGTTACACAAAGAGACACCAACAGCAACAAACAGAGGAGAAGAGAAAGTAGTGAGCCAACCAAAATGATCAGAGAAAAAGTGCCTTCATCAAAGCTTAAAGATTATTATTGTTGAGGACACATGTAAGTTGGTGGAGAGTTAGGTGACAGGTGTAGTGGGTTAGAGAAGTGGTAATTAGAATAGTGACACGTAGGCAAAAGTCAAAGTAGGAACATTGTATATAAGGTGAACAGAACATTATACCGAGGCATTGATTGATGTAATAAACACTTGTTACTTGAATACAAAATATTGTTCTTTCTGTTGCTCAGAAAGTTCTTTACCCATTTCGTATCCTTGATTCTTTCTTCCTGTTGCTCAGGTAGATTGTAACACTGGTGCTTTCATGCGTGATCTCCTCTCACAATGCGAGTTCAGGAACTGGCGGAGGTAGTTGTCGCTTTGCAGAATCACTTCGACGAGTCACAGAACCAGATCTCCCTAATGGTTGCTCAAATGCAACAATTGAATGAATCAATGGGGGTTCTTCATTCACATTCCAGAAAATCACCGGAGAATCATCAAGATCCAGTCACCGAATCATCTTCATCCGGTCCGGCAGATGTTCAGAACGAGATGGGGCAAAAGGATAACACAGACCCACGCACGTTGCTGAAATTTGTTAAAATGAAGATTCCGCTATTTGATAGTACAAATCCAGACAACTGGATTTTCAAAATGGAACTCTTCTTCGAATTGCAGAGGGTTCCACTAGCGTTAAAGGTTCAACTAGCAGGTCTGAGGATGGAAGGTCCTGCTTCGTCATGGTTCCAATGGACTTACAAAGGGGGAACAATTCGGTTATAGCCGGATTTCACGAAGGCACTCATGTAGCGTTTTGGTGTGAAGGCGCATCAAAATATCCCTGCTCCCAACATGACATAACCAATATCCCTGCTCACAAGGCTCTCCTAGCCCGTAGCAATAAAAGGCGAGGAACTGGCTGTGGAATCACACGGAGACATCACCACTCGCTAGGCACAACAATCAATCAATCATCGCACAACTATTGGATAATCCATCCACGCCAAGGATGATTTCCAAAATTATCCATCGGTAATCCCACCCGATCTACCGAGAACTCACGACCATTCCACTGAAAAATGACATCTCGATGCACAGTGGTAGAATCACACTTTACTCTGGTGGCGGTGGTCAACCGCAACGGTGGAGAAAGCACAAACATGGACAACTCAAGCCCCACAGCAATCGGGGTTGCAATAAGGAATGCGTAGCCCTGGAATCAAACAAAGCATCGAAAGCAACACCGCCAGTGGTAACAGTACCTCAAACAAGGTCCGGAGCGAGATCCGACTGCTGGCGATCCAATGTGTACACACGCCCCGAGGTAGGTGGCACAACAGGTGTCGCTGAAGGTGGAAGGGGAACCATCTGGAGTGGATCTGCCTGAACTGCTGCAGCTCTCGCCATAGCCGATGGACACTCTCTAGCATTTTCTTGGTTGGTTCTGTGCGGTCATTTTTCCCCAATCGCTTTCAGCCTGTATAGCTATATTAGGAAGTTGATACTGTCATCCAATTTTCCTTGTTGTCCAGCTATATGTCAAAGGGCATTTTAGTGCACTTAAACTTTGAAAAAAATCTACTTGATGAACTTGGAAAAAAATAACACCAATGTTGGGCTCTGTTTGCTGTATGGGAAAAGAATGCAATGACGGTCCTTTGGCTGAGTGGTGAACGTTGGGGTATCTACGAGAAGGTGATGACCAAAATTTTAACCATTTTCCTTAACTACTCGGCTGAATGTGTGTGTCTGAAGAAGTTAATTTTGGGTCATCCATGTTTACTTGTTTCTGCCCACTTTGACAGCCACGATATTACGGCATGCAAGTCTAAAAACTGAATTATTGTAAACATGAATTAGGAATCATCCTAATTTTCGGAACTGTCATCTGTTTAGGAAAAATATATCTTGCTATTTTGTTCCATTCCTTTCTGTTCAGTAGGTGAACCACGAATCCTTTGAAGCATGCAAGTTAAATTATTTTATTATGAGATTAGATATTAGCCCTGTTGACTGCTTTTTGTATTAAATAAATTGGTTAGGCCTTACATGTGGTAAAAGTGATGGGACAATATATGCAGAGACCCTCTTACCTTGTCTTGCGAAATTTGGAAAGTTACTGATGTAGGAAAATGAAACCGCACCTGCACGGATTGGGGGAAACTTTGGGTTTTACTTTGGTTAACAAGTTATTGTAACGTACTAAGTCAGAAAAATTGATTAGTTTGTTTTTTTTGTTATCTTTAACTCCTGGTCTATGCCATGCTAGGACTGATTGGGCCTTGGGGTCACACACACACAAAGAACCGTTTTGAGCATGAAATGTGGTTCCCCTTGTAGGACCCTCTGTTTTGGCGAAAGTAGTAGAAGTTAACTAGTGTGTGGCTTGTGTTTAATTCACCCAGGCAGCGTGTATAATAGCCATTTTCACACATTAGGCTTAGTGGAACTAATTATTTAAATAAAATCTTGAACACTCCTTTTTGCCTAGAAAAACTGAACCTGCATGCTTATGAAACCTTGGAGATTTTGTTTAGCTAGCAGTTGTTGGAATAAAAATTTAGGCAGTAAACTATTAGTTTTGGATGCTTGATAAATCGAATAAAATACAAGAATGGAAAGAATGGAAATGACTTGGAAATTATGAGATTAATATGGGTTTTTTTAACTGTTAACGAATTGGGGTATTAACTCTAAGTCATAAAATTTAATTTAGTCTGTGGACCATGAAAAACCGAATTGTATGTATTGAAACCGATTACAGAATAAGAATTAGAAGCATGAAAATTTGTTGATAAATTATAGGAATAACATGAGACCAATTATGACTTGTCACATATGTAATTAGGTGCACGTAACTCTTATTGAGTGAGCTGAATTTTGGTGCTGTTAATTATTGCTTGGACACAAGGTATGTGTTTGGTGATGAGACCTACTGTGACTATTAGCTAGAGTATGAAATTTTGAACTGATACATGTCCTTTATGATTCGTATTCTATTATATGATATATGAAATCTGCCTTGGACTTGTCATGATGGAAAATTCTGCCTATGAAAGTATTTGTTATTTGGCAGCTTGGTATTACATATACAAAAGATATATGCTATACGATTATGATCTAGCCATGCATATGCACAACATGCTTCATCTGTTTCTGTTTGGGTGTGGGTCAAGCATGTCATTGCATACGACATTATGCATTCATTCTGGAAATCAAAGTATATGATATAAGTAAGTATACGATTGAGCACGCATCATATAGGCATCCCTCCGGTACCAGGGTATGGGACACTTGGCTTCAGTCCGCATAGGTTGCAGTTGGAACCCTCTTGAGGAGCCACTATGGGATCTCCACTGTACTTGTTAGTACGTGCACGACGGTGCTATGAACGTACTCTTTGGCGTTATATACACATCTTGATTAGTATTTTGGCGTTATATACGCAATACGATTAGTACCTTGGCGTTATGTACGCACTATGATTATTATGTTAGCATCTATCTGGGAAAAATTAAATGTTGATGCGACTGTTTTTGAATTTTGTACCTAGTCTAATATTGTTGTTGTATTAGTTTTATTGCCACACTACTGAGATTTTTCTCACCCCTTCGGGGGCTCAATTTTTATAAATTGCAGGAGTACGAAATGGCATATGATGATGTATTTGTATTGGAGATGTCTTGTTTACTTGCTGCTGCTGTTTTGGGAATTTTGATGTTGATATGCTGTTCCTGCTGATTTGGTTGATTGTTATAGTATGCTGTAATAATTGTTTTGAGATGTTGTAAGAAAGTGTTAGAACCTGTTTTAATTGCTGTATTTGGATTTTGGGGTCTGTGTGTAACTTGTGCAAATCTGGTGTTCTTTAGCAAAATATTTCATGCACGTTTTCAATCCTGAATTTTTAAACTACTTTTGCGAGCACTTTGCGAGTTGTCGTTCTGGGGCTACAGACCTCCGATTGAGGTATATTTTATATGGATGTAAAGCCCCAGTTGTGCACTTTCAAATTATGTACACCTTACAATTAAATTTTGAAATCCCGATTTATTATGATTTTTATAAGTCAGGAGGTTTTTTAGAAAAATACACTGAGTTTTTGAGTACCTTACGAGTTCTGTTTCATGGGCTATTCTCCTCCGATTCACGTATAGTTTATATGCACGCGAAGCCCTAGATGTCTAGCTTCTATATAACAAAGAATATTTTTTGAATCGTTGAAATTGATTTTATACGAATTTTTCAAGACAGTAAGGTCTGCCAGAAAAGTTAGGAAATTCAGCAAGCTATGTATTTTTTAAAATTGACACTCTGATTTTTATGAACAACTAGACTTCGACGCAAGATTTTAATTAGCAACTTAAAATGATTTTTCAGTATTCAAGTAATGACATTAAGTACTCTAATCCGCTTAGCAGACAACTCTCCTGGACTACAGGAGGGGGTGTCACACTAATTGGTATCAGAGCAGTTTTGATTCAAGGTACGTATTTGATGAAATATTTGTTGTTTGTACTTGGTTGCTGAATGGTTGTTGTTTGAAGTTATTGATTAATTGTATATGTTCGTTGCATTGTTGCTGTTTGAACTTAGCTGTGAATGGGTTACTAGTTAAAATTGCCTTATATTTGGAAGTGTGATGATACTGGTAGTACACGGTACTAAGCATGGCTATGCCCATTCCCTTGCTAGGTGGTGAGCCTAATCAACTCACCGTCGCGTAAGTTGTGTGTGCACAATCATAGTTATCACGGGGTACACTTGTGTCTGAGCACGAGGTGTGAAATAGTAAATTGCTACTTGAATTAAAGGTGAATTAATAATTATGTTCTCTAAGGACTCTAAGCACGATTTTATGCATATATGCTTGATGTGAATATTTTTGTGATAATCTAAGCTGTGAATGATAACATGTAAACTTTAAATAATGACTGCTGGTGTGTACTTGCCCTTGAGGTTTATGCTGTTTCCCTGCATGTGTGGCTGTGGAGATAGCTGGGTAGTAGAAACTGTTACTCTTTACTAATTCTGTTATGTTACTTAATTGCGTAAGGGGTTAATATGTTGAGAAGAGTAGCAGTGATTTAATTATGAAAATTGATGTAGGGATAGGTCACTTACCTAAGTTGATCCGGTTAATGCTCTTAGAACGTAAAATTAGTATTAATTAAGGCTTTAACATGTGGGATCGCTGTCCTTTACAAACCTTCTAATGGTGAATTAGCACTAGACATCATTCCTGAGAAAGAAGCTGTAAAACAAAATAGTGATGTGTGGAGGAAGATACCTGACCCCTAACTCCTTGTCCTTCATGTGAGTGATACTTGCTGTTTTAATTCATGCGTATGTGATTGCTTTGTATGATTTTGACCACTTTTGGACTTGCATGTAATTTATTGTCTCTGATTATAGTGACGGATTTCATATGGTGATTGTTTGAATTTATCAGTTTAGATTCTTAACCTTATATTGGAACTGAATGTATAATTAAAGAAAGGTCATCTGAACTACATTTAGAATATAGTGGACTGAACAGGTAAATCGAGAGGACATGGAACTACATCTCGTTTGGTTTGTTTTATTATGTTGGTTAATTGACACTTTGCTAAAATTAATATTCGAGTAAGCATCAGAAGGTTCTGGTTACTAAAATTTTATTTAATTGTGTATGGATATAGATATTCTGCACTAATGACATAATTGGGGGATTAAATAAAGATATTGGAAATTGACTGCTTATAAGCTTTGACTGTTAGGAGCTCATGTATAATATGCAAATGGAATTTTACGTGTAACAATTTATGGACGTCATATGTATGATGTGTTGTGTTCGCATTGTCAATATATATATATTAAGAAACTTGGAGGTATCTCATTCAATTTTTTTTTATTTTCGGAATACAATTTTAAAGGCTACCTCCTAATTTGAATAGAGGATACATTAAACTATACCATAGAAGAAATTCTATGTTGAAGCAGAGTCTTTTCCCTCTTGCCCACAAAAAAAAAAAAATTCTAGAATTGTTTGGACTAATTTCAATGCTTGGACCAAGCAAACATGGACGCTCAAGCAACCAAGGATCGCATTGTCAATATTTTATTTATTTACGACATCCATTTTGATGAAAAAATAACATAGAAAGTATTAAATCAATAATGAATTCAAATTATTATTTTCTCAAATAACAAAGAAAAAGTGTTTGTCATTTTAAATAACATAAACTTACGTAATTTTAAGAGAAATATAGACACATAATTTTATTTTTTATTTAAAATTTAAATTAAAAAAATCGTCCACTTTTTTTTTCATAATTTTTATTCAATGTGTCTATTTTTTTCTTAAAACGAGGAACACAGTAACAAATTCTCAAATCATTTTAGTGAAATGTGTTGAAAAAGTATCGTAATAGTGCAAAATTTCTACATTGGTCAAAATGAAACTGAAGCCTGGGAAATATAAAAGAAGGAAGAGGCCGTTGAAAAGACGGTAAATGTTTGTGCAGTGGGATCGTTATATTACATTGCTCCCTCCCTGTCCTCGTCCCTGCAATCTAGGGTTCTTGGAATATACAGTAACGTGTTTTAGGCTTTTCATTTGATTTGTTTGATTTCCCCGTCACTGCTCCTCGAGTTCGATCTCTTCAATTAAGGTACGTGCCGTGTTCCAATCTTCTTCTTCTTGAATTGCTTTGATATTTGAACTTCGTATTCAATTTAACGCTGATTTGAGCATTAACTCTGAGCTAATCTGGACGATTTAGGGTTTGAATTCGAGATCTTCATTGTACCTCGGGTCAATAAAATCCACCATGACAATCGCTGATTCAGTTTTTCCGATGGACAATGGGGAGAGTTGCTTACCGCTTCCACCAGAGGAAGAAAACCGGATCGTGTCCGATTTGATCAAGGAATCGGAGCTTAATTTGAAAGAAGGAAACTTATACTACGTTGTTTCTAATAGGTCTTAATATTATCTCTTCTCTTTTCATTTCTTTCAAAAAGTCCACAACCAGTCTATGCTATGCTGTTCATGATGAATTTAGATATGATTATCATGTGAAAAATTAAACCGTTTGACCTGTCCCACCCTTCGCCTTGGGGACTTTTTTGTACAGTTTTCTATTTGTTTCACCATCATAGAGTGAATGGATCCTTTTTTGTGCCTAGACATACATATGCGTATAGAAATTGTATCACTTGTGCAGTTTGCTCCGATATATGTTTCCGTTTTCCCCCCTCCGTAAGAACATCTAGGCTAGCCTTTTTAAAATCTTATTAGAGAGTTGCTACTCTATCCTATACCTGAGGTTAACGCTAATATCACCTGTATCTCAAACTAGTTAGATGTAGAAGCAAGAAAAGATTAAGGAAATTACTATACCTAATGTGAGTTATCAAATATTCAACGACAGCCAGTTTTATCATAAATATTTGATAATTCATTAAATATGATCAACAAACAATAAATGCTTGACAACTCAGATAGAGTACCAGTACAGTTGAAAAAAACGATGGGTGTCGGAGTAATATCCTTGGTATTATTATTATTTATCCTTCACAAATCACACGATATTTTTCCATATATAACCTATTATTCTATTAATGCATATCTGTGCATTTTTGTATTGCATCCTGATCTTGCAATAAACTTCAACGACTTACTTTTAGCTATGGTTATATGGGCTTGTTTGTTTGTGTTTCATTTATTTATTATTTTAAAAATACTATTTTAATTAAAAATATATCAAAAATTTCTAACAATTTTTTTTTTTTTTGAAAAACAGATAAAATACAAAAAAGCAGTTTTGGTGATTTTTTTTCAAAAGTTCTTCAAAAGCTTATCAAAATACACTCATTCTATTACATTTTACCTTTATGCATTTTTAATCAAGATTTTTTGCCACCCATGCAGGTGGTTTTCAAAGTGGCAGATGTATGTTGGGCCTTGTGTTGGTATGCTGTCAACTGACATGCCATCTTCTGATGGACAGCATGCTAACACGGTTCACTCGCAGATTGCAGATAGACCTGGGCCAATTGATAATTCTGATATTATTTCAAATGGAGATAATTGTGATGACAATAATGTAGATATTCATCGAATGTTGGAAGAGGGGACAGACTATGTTTTAGTTCCTCAAAAAGTGTGGGAAAGGCTGTTGGAATGGTAAATATGTTATTATCAATATAGTTGTTGCTTTTTTTTTTTGGTATACCGATCCTAATTACCTCTTTGACGCGAGTTGGCCCCCTGGTATCCCCACAAGCTTCAGCTCTTTGAGTCGGTTATAAGACTAATCCCGAGTCGGGCTTAAATAGTTAAAGTTTCTCGCTCTCCCCAAAAATGTATTTGGTGGGAATTGAATCCAGGTTCTCTCCCCGCCTCCTCAACTTGTGTTGCCAACTGAGCTATAGTCATTGGGTTAATTGTTGTTTGGAGAAGATTAATGATCTAGTGGGCTGTAGTTTAAAAGAAGAGTCAGATAAGCATGCCACAAGACCATCTTTTAATACATTTAATTAAGTGTGCAGAGAGATATTTTTGTATACACAGATTTAATATCACTCAAGAGTTTCAGGAAACAGCTTTTTAATGGGTTATATGGGAATATAATGAAAGAAGGGCCCAAATTGTGTTTAAATTTAATTTTTTTGAATTTTTTCCCTGAATCCTTTATAGGCAGCATATTCTTGTTTTGTTGTAAGTCAAGTCTGGAAAAATTTACATGTTGCAGGGAAGTTGGTCTTGAACCTTTTGCTTAGCTAGGTTTAATATTGAAAATATGAAGCTAACCCATGCGTGGATTATGAAAACGTCTTGGGATTCAGGCAGTGGAAAAAATGCATGTCATTAATTCAATTTTGTCATCAGATGGTTTAAAATGCTTGATTTATAGAGTGCCTGTTTAAACAGATTTCTGTCTCACAATTGTCTAGGTATAAAGGTGGACCAGCAATACCAAGGAAGTTGATATCTCAGGGTAATGGACAGAAGCAATACGGTGTTGAGGTTTACCCACTTAGTCTAAAGGTGACAGATGGCAGGGATAATAGTGAGACAATTGTAAAATTAAGCAAAAAGGTACTAATTGATTTCATTGTAGGCTCTTTTATTCTAGTTGGCTTCGCAGTAATTCCAATGCTTAGAAGAGAGTGCTAATGTATCTGTTTGTATGCACTGTATGATTGGCCTGCGATTACCTTACCACTATAATAAATGATTATATTATTTAGTTTATATAAATGTTAATATTACTTACACTATATTTCAAAAGAAGCAATTTTTATTTCCTGTAATTTTAAGTTTAAATCAGGTCATCAACTTGGGATTTCACTTGGAGTAGGTGGTGGAATAGAATACCGACATGTTTTTGTTTAGTTGAAGAATTCCCATAAAAATGATAACATTAATATGTGTATACTGGCATCTTGATCCATTACATACTAGTCAATCTGCATTCTTATTTTATTTTACTTAGAATATATAGAGAGAGAACAAGAGTCAAAATCTCTACATATTGTTGGATTAAATGTTCCCTATATGTAATTTATGATAATAGGGTTCGTGTTAAGTCATAGTGAGGTTGTAATTTATTGACATATCTTGTAATTCATGTGAATTGATACTTTTCAAGCATAATAAAATACTATCTACTTGGGGGCAGGATCATTTGACTCCAGTGTAAGATTAAGATGTCTTACTCCTTATCTCACCCGTTGATTTACATTCATCTAACGATTGTAGTTTATTTAGAATTAATATATATATATGGGGCAGGATATTCTTACACTGGTGTAAGAGTTAGAAGTCTTACACTTAATCTTGACCATTGATCCACTTGTATCCAATGGCTCACATTACTAAAAAATTTGAGCTCTTAGATATAAATGGGATCAGTGGACAAGATTAAGAGTGTAACTTACACTGGTGTAAAATGATCCTAACCCTATATATATAACTCAATAAATTACCGTCGTCAGATAATGGTAATCAACGGCTGAGATGGAGAGTAAGATTTATTCTTACACCAGAATCAAAAGATCCTTCCTCATCTACTTGACTAAATTCCTATTGATTTTTAGTTTTTCTAAAATTTGGCATAAAAGATCAACATGATAACTACTTATAAGAATTTTTTGGATGGCGTAAGTTTACAAAACTTTTTGCGGGCTCCTATATATATATATATATACATATATATATATATATATTGTGCTTATGGAATCTTTAAATGACATAAATCATCTATTCGCTTGACAGCCTTTGTATAGTTGCATTAGTATATCTCATTCTTCAATTCTCAACTTCACGTTGCTAAAACCTTGGAAAAAAAATTAAAAGAAGAAAGAGAAAAACATCAGCATTAACTTAATTGAAATGAAAGACCATCAATTCTTGATACTCTCTATCATGTTATCAACTTGACTTGCTATTATAAGTAAATTTGTTCTCTTCTTTCCTATTAGCTATGTTTCAAGGCCATTAAAATCTGATTGAAGCTTGAAATTTCCAATAAGATTGCAAGTATAGAAATTTTACTTTTTTAATCTGGACTAGCACCAGATTTGGATGTAACATGAGATGATTTGATGATTGGAATGCGAGACCAACCATTGTTCTGATTCTTGTTTTTCTATTCCTGTAATATATTTTAGGCTACCATAAGTGAACTTTATGAGCTGGTGTGCAAAATTAAAGGAGTAGAACAGAACAAGGTGCTTTTCTTTTTTCTTTCCTTTTTTTTTTTTTTGCTTATTTGGTTTTTTTTTTATTTTTTCATTTGTAATGAAATCTTACACTTCTGTTCATTTTCTATTTTTGTTGTTTGTAAATTATATTAGGCCTGTATTTGGGATTACTTCAATTTGAAGAGAGATTCATTGCTTGTTGCCTCAGACAAGACGTTGGAGGAAGAAAACTTGATGATGGATCAAAATGTGAGTAACCCTGAGTTGTTTAGATTTTTAAGTATAATTGATTTCAATTTGGAAATAGAAATACAAAGCTCTAATGGGACCTTCTTTTGTCTACAAAGTGGATCATATGAAGCACTGTGATTATGGTTCTCCATTGGAAGGAAGTTTATGTCAAATATTTGTTATTGCGGGTGTCTCAAATAGAGTCTTGAGCTGAATATTTTTATGGCATTCTTCTGATTTTATGTTTAGATACGAAGATATCCAAACTTATTGCTTGGTAATGGTTCTTCTATAGAAATTTGATTATCCTTATTCATCTCTTGCTCACAGATTCTTCTAGAAGCATCACTTGATAGAGATCGTTCTTCTCATTCTGGCATGGATTCAATGGGAAATGTATTAGCTTTGGTACCGTTAGAACCTCCAAGGTCATCTGTGTCAATTGCAGGGGGACCTACCATGTCAAATGGTTACTCTGCGGGGTCTAGTTTCACTTCGTATCAGGGAAGTTCTGTAAGTTCATCATTGACTAATATGGATGATAAGTATGATGTCTATAGAGGTGAAAGGGGTGGTTTGGCAGGACTGCAGAACTTGGGGAATACCTGCTTCATGAATAGTGCTATTCAATGTTTAGTCCACACTCCGCCTCTTGTTGAATATTTCTTACAAGATTACACTGAGGAAATCAACATGGACAATCCTTTAGGATTGCGTGTACGTGATCATTTCCACTGGCTTTGATTTATTTAATTTTTCAATGTTCTACTGTTTATAAGATATTGTGTACTATGATGGCCTTACTTTAAGGAAATTTATGTTGATTTTGAAGTTGTAACATGTCTCTGATGTGCAGGGTGAGTTAGCACTTGCATTCGGTGACTTGTTGAGGAAACTATGGTCCTCAGGGCGAACTGCTATTGCACCCCGTACATTCAAGGGAAAATTGGGCCGATTTGCTCCACAATTCAGTGGTTATAACCAGCATGATTCTCAAGTTAGTTTCTGCAAATTGTCAAAGTTCTTAATTTTTGAGAATGCTATCAAGTAAATAAACCCAAGTGCTGTTATTACTTATTATGAGAACTTTGTCTCGTCATGCAACATTACGACAACTTTGTTTCCGTTGATTATATGGCACTGCCATTAGTCACTCATTTCAACCTTCTGTTGGTTAGCATTTTCAATTATATAAGTAAGGAACAAGTGCATGAGTTTATTTTTCAAGTTAAATTATAGTTTGGCCCACACGAAGTTTGGTTTGGTGTCCTTGAAATACAATTTTTTTCAATTTGGTCTTCAATTCACTTTTCAAATGGTTTAAAAGTAATTGTAACTGCCAATTCTTTGATGAAAATTGGCTGCCAGAAGTTTCTGTCAGCCACTTGACAGTTTCATCCAGTTTTAGGGACCCAAATGAAGGATCATGCATTTTTCTGGGATTCAAACTGTTTTTTAACCTTATTTTTGTTGGATTCTATTTTTGTAGTAATGAGAGCTTTAAAGGAAAAAAAAATGAAAATTAAGGACCCCCTGCATTCTATAACTTTCCTATCACAGAGTGCAGATATTTATCATGAAGCATAGGGTTTCTTTCATAACATTTTCTCTATCTATAATTTGGTGTATGGCATTTTTATAATAAAAGATGCTACATTCTGCCATCTGGTTTTCATTCTAGACTAGGAGGAGATCACAGCTAGGGGTTCATGAACTTTTCGGATCATTTATTAGACCTGTTGAAGTTGGCTGTTGCCTGTATGTCATATCTGCATGGCTCCGATTCATGAGTTGTAAACCTTGATATGAATGTTTCTCTATATATGTATGTGTTTGTAGAAGTAGAGTTTTTTATTTTTTTGGTGTTGATATTTTTTATTCCTTTTCACTGTCTTTGCTAAGGACAAAAATCTAAATGGTGGCAAATAATTTATACCTGGAAATCTGGACCACATCACATGGAATTCAAATTTTTGTTCTATTTGCCTTTCCTTTTTAGTATAACATATACATGAATGGATCATTTACAAGATATAGTTACTGAGTATGAGTTATCTTTCAAATTTGAGAATCATTTGTCATGGATGTTTGATGCTGCTGTACTGCAGTGTTATGTCAAGCTACCATCCACAAACCAAAGCTAAAGGTTGCTAGAGGGGATGTAATCTTCATTGGAGATTGTTGAGCGAGTTAATCCTGTAGACTTGCATTATACATGTGTGTTAATTTTAGAAGGGACTGGAGAATCGCGAGTAACTTGTAATTTTATGTTTTCTCATGTAGTCTATCTTTTAACAATCCTACCTTGAGAGCCTAGTTTGCGTGAAATTAAAATTGGACTTGAGAAAATTTGACGTTCTTGATGTGGTTGTTTTAAAATTGACCTTCTGCACTAAATTTTAGAGAATCCATTAAACTTCTGCTTGTTATGATTGAGGAATGGATTACTTTCTTTAGGAATTGCTTGCCTTTTTGTTGGATGGACTGCATGAAGATTTGAATCGTGTGAAACAAAAGCCTTACATTGAAATGAAGGACTCAGATGGTAGGCCAGATGAGGAAGTCGCATATGAGTGTTGGAAAAATCATATGGCTCGGAATGATTCATTGATTGTTGATGTATGCCAAGTGAGTAATTATACATATGTCCATGTTTGATAGTCACATATTACATGGATTCCATTTGATCTACCATTGGTAAGCCGAGTAGCTAAATGCCTAAATTTCTGCCCCGTCTATAAAAAAAAAAAAAAGGAGGAGAGAAAAGAAAGGGAAGAACCTGTAGTTATTAATTGCTATATTAATATTTGTTTTACTCTTACTCACTTTTGGTTTATAAGTTGTTTGTGGGCTTTCTTGAATTTTTCCCTTCTCAATAAGCCTGCTTTGATTTCTATCAGTTCTTGAACCTAGTCTTCAATAAAATATTGACAAGATAGAATTTCAAGCACCCACTTTATCTTTACTAAGCATTGACATTTTTATTTTTTTGCAATAGGGTCACTCATTAGTCGGGTCTAACAGGGAGTGTTTTTTTTTTAAATGCTCAGGGTCAATACAAGTCAACACTGGTTTGTCCAGTCTGTGGCAAAATTTCAATCACTTTTGATCCCTTCATGTACTTATCATTACCACTGCCTTCCACTGTCACCCGGACAATGACAGTGACTGTTTTTTATTGTGATGGGACTGGTCTTCCCATGCCATACACCGTGACAGTTCTGAAGCATGGTTGCTGCAGAGATCTTTGCCAAACATTGGGCACTGCATGCTGCTTGAAGAGTGATGAAATGCTTTTACTTGCAGAGGTATGTGCTTCTCAGAATAAGATTTACTTATTCCTTTTCTACTTGACTTCGATTTGATGTTTTATGTATATGTCTATCTCAGGTTTATGATCATAAGATTTATCGATACCTAGAGAACCCATTGGAATCACTCACTTCAATAAAGGATGATGAACATATTGTGGCATATCGACTCAAAAGTGGAGCCCGGAAAACAAAACTAGAAATAATGCATCGATTTATGGATAAGTAAGTTTACCTCTTTTTGTGTGTGTTGTCAGGTTATACTCTTTACAATGAAAGGCGCAAGGCTCTGTTGAGTCATGGTGCCTATTTACAGAAAGTGAGAGCAAGTGATAGAAAGAGCAGGAAAATGATGAACGAGAGAGGAGAGCCAAGAGAATAACTCTGAGTCTTTCTATTTCTTTTGATCTTCAGGATCTTACATGATAGTCTTTTATACACTCAACTAATAGCTAACTATCTGACTCAGATAGCAATTATCATAACTAACTGTTTCAGTAAAGTAACAATAACAGTAGCAGAAGCAGTAACAGCACAAGTTACTCTAACACCTATATGTGATAGTTTCCATTGTCTAAGATGGCATTACAGCGGCCTTGGTCCATAAGTTTTTGGGAGATTTCTTCTTAAGGTTCCTTTTAACTGAAAATATTCCTCTTGGTTGCTTGAATTCTGTTGTGAACTTTCAATAAATTTTGGTTAAATGGATTTTTCTCCCCTTGAAAGTAACGTATTGGGGACTGGGGTTTTCGCAAGATTTTTCAGTGTTAATAGTCACAGTTCTCATGTACCCATTAATCTCTTCCAGAGTACAATGGGAATGAATCATCCAGAAACTGATAATGGTGATTAATGCCACCTGTCTCTTTGAACGCATTATTGTCGTGTTTATAACCCAAAACGTTAGAACAAAATTTTCCTATAATTTTTCCAATGCTTTGGTTATTTTCTCCATAATTGGGTGTTTCAAGTACTACAGAATCTTGCAGGTGCCATTCAAGTTGGTACCTGCTACTCAGGGTATCACACAGGATATACATTACACATTTGTTTGCTACTGTGGCTTAGCATAGAGAAGTTTACCATAGCATGATTTCAGAACTGATTATAGAGATTTTACTGAATTGTTCCTGGTGCATTGACTTAGAACGAGATAATGCTTCAATTTCTCTTTTGCTGTTCAATTTGTAAGTTTCAATTACCTTGATGTTCACTGGACAGTATGAAGGGTGGAGACAGGAAGCTCTTTGGAACTCCCTTGGTTACGTATTTGGTAGAAGACCCTCAATATGGAGCCAACATTGAGACGTGTGTACATAAAATGTTGGCGCCATTAAGAAGAGCATATTCTTCAACTAAGTCTCATGATGGGAAGGAAAATGGTTTCATCTCAGCTGACAGTGATGAGCAATCAAACATCTGCAATACTCACAGTGAACCAAGGAGTCTGACAATGGGTAGCAGAGAACAAGACGAGGGGACATCCTGTGGAGAGTCATCTTTCCAACTTGTTTTAACTAATGAAAGCTGTTTGAGCTGTGAGCCCATTGAGAAGGATTCTTTTATAAAACCCAGTCAGCTTATAAGAGTCTTTCTTGACTGGACTGATAAAGAATACGAATTATATGATGCCAGCTATCTGAGGGATCTCCCTGAAGTTCACAAGACCGGATTCACTGTGAAAAAAACCCGGCAAGAAGCTATTTCGTTGTTTTCATGCTTGGAGGCATTCTTGACTGAAGAACCTCTAGGACCTGATGACATGTGGTAAGATAGCTTTAATGATTTTGAAACGGATTTCATACTAGACTACCGTGGGCTATTCACTTCTTGTAATATCATTGCTTTAATTTTTTTTTTAATTAACTAGGTACTGCCCTAGATGCAAGGAGCACAGACAAGCTACCAAGAAGCTAGATTTGTGGAAATTGCCGGATATTCTTGTTTTTCACTTAAAACGATTCTCATACAGTAGATACCAGAAAAACAAACTTGACACTTTTGTGAATTTTCCCATTCACGATCTTGATTTGACCAAGTATGTGAAAAGCAAGGACGGAGAGTCCTATGTGTATGACCTTTATGCAATCAGCAACCATTATGGTGGTCTAGGAGGTGGGCATTACACTGCGTATGCTAAGGTAAGTTCATAACATGCATAATGATATTTGATTCTTCATGCTACGTGTTGTTATGCCAAGTCTGGATTTTGTAATTTGTGAAATCTTTCTGCTGTTTGAGATGTTTCTGTTTGAAACCACAATTGTGTTCATTTGTTCTGCCAATTTTGTGCAGTTGATCGATGACAATAAATGGTACCATTTCGATGACAGTCATGTCAGTCCTGTTACTGAAGCTGAAATTAAATCTTCAGCTGCATATGTGCTGTTTTATCAGAGAGTTAGAAGTAAAAGCCAGAAGGAAGGAGAGTTATCTCAGGTTCATACAGGTTCTTATAGACAGTGATGGGGCATTTTTTTGTTTAGTTTTGTGCCTGGATTATATGCTTAACCCGATGCGGAGCTTACGTCCTGGATAGTTATTATACTTTGCAGTGCAACACAGGAAGCTTGAAGACAAAATGTTACCATGTCGTAACAGCAATTAAGTAAATGTTTTAGGTGAGGCTCTTTAAAAAACATGTTCTTTGGAGTATCAGTTTATCGCTACAGGAATGATATCATTTTTTGATAGAGAAATTTTGGCAGCCTATGAACTTGCTTAGATATTGATGTTATTTCATTTCATCGGTTAAAACAGATCATCATGAATTGATCATCATTGCCGTTTGACAGTTGTATATCATAATGTGCTTAATAGGGAAGCTTGTGTTTGTGAAAGAATTTGTACCCACCCTCCATTATGTTGTTAGGATTCTGGGACCTAATATCATGCAACAATTACATAAAATGTGTGGAAGAGATTATAAACAGCGGCTGATTATATATATATTTTTTTTTAATAATGGTTTATTCCCATTGCTCTTGTGTTGTCTTTCTCCTTCATCTCTGGTGCATTACTGAACATGCGTATGATTTTGCTTCATCCGTACTTTTGGAGTAATTTTCAGATTTTTGTCCGGTAAAGGTCAAACTAAGCATTGCCCAATTTTTTTTGAACCAAAACAAGGTGTCTCCAGTCTCGTTCTCTCTGTATTCTCTAGTTCGAGGTCTGCAAACTTTGAGCCCTAGAAGTTGTGTCACTATTGTCAATTTAGCCTCGATTGGTTTGATCTGCAGTTTCTGTGTGGTTCTTACTGTTATCCGCTGCGGATTCCCCCATCAAGCTTTGGCAAGGTTTGCTTGTTCTGCTGAATTTCATGTCGTCTTTTGTAGTCAACAAGAGGTCAGCACGACCAGGATCAGGTTACTACTTTAGAATTTTACCCCCATGAGAATAATAGAGTTGCTAAGCACAATAGTATGGTCAAAGCTATTGTGTAGACAAAAGCATATGCCATGAGGAACTATTTGCAGCATCTCTTATGTCAGCATGTATACAGAAACTTCTTAGTCCAGAATTCTGACATCAGTTTCATATCCCTTGGAATCGCAATTTTATTCACAAAACCTATTCTGCTAAGCACCAAACATCTGTATTTGTTTCTAAAGAAGCATCAAGTGTGGGGCAGAGCTAGGTGAGGGGGCCACAATGAGAGAGTACTTCAAATTAGGAGGGGCGCGCCACTGAGTATGGGGGCTTTGGAAGTTAGCTACCTTCTTCAGCGCAAAGGTTCTGTGCTCCTATAAATATAGGCGCATACCTTCTATTCCCTCGATAGCCGATTAGCCGTGTAGTCCTTTTGTGTGTATTCACAATTAAAAAAAAATATATTAGTTTACTTTTAAAATAAATATTTTATTGAACTCGTTATTCATTAAACCTACAATATAGTCACTTAATTTAACAATTAATTAAATATAAAAATCGTTAATTTTAATAACTTATTAAATATGTAATCTAATTTTTTAAGTAAATACATATATTTTTATTATACTGTTATCTTAATAATAATGTTACAAAATTTACAACGTTTATCAATTTTCTTATACATAACACGTATTAAAAGCAAACCCTTTTATGATAATAGTTTTTTAGCATTTGACTCTTAAAAATCAATTAAAATTATTAATTAAAATTTGACTGGAAATAGTTATTAAATTAAATTTAAATTATCATAATAAATTGTTATTGAAACATGATTAACAATAGCTTATTAAATTAAATCAATCTAATTGCAAAAATAAAAGCTTAAGTATAACGTAAATGCAACTAATATCAACGTTCAACTGTGAAAATGTGCTCTTAAGAATAAATTCCTAAACAATGGCGTCCAATATGTTTTAATATAATTCAAAATTCAAAATCATCAAGTTCAAGCAAGTAAATTCCAAGCTAATTTTTAAATAATTGTTTTTTTCTCTAAATTTATAAAAAAAAAAGTAAAATTAGGATAATTTGAAAACTTAACTTTTTTTTCTTTCTTGTATTTATTATTATTGAAAATAGGTTTAACTTCATACATTTATATTTATTATAATAATTTAACAAATATGTCCACTTCTTAACGGTCACATGCATCGGGTAATTCTAGAATGATAATTTATTGTTAAATGATGACGTTAAGCAGATGCTGGAAATGGCAGAGTATCGTGAACCTAATACTATTTGTTTTTGAAAGGGTGTTTGTTATGAGGTTAGTGTATGTGTATGCGATGATAGGAGATTATAACTTATAAGAATTCGAGGTTGTTGCGTATGAGAGTTGAATACCACAAATGTGAGGGTAGCACATTATTAAAGAATATCTCATAAGAATACCAATAAAATCGTATCTGTTTCTATAATGCATAAATTAATGGGGGGTTGGGGCAAGTCTTCTGATCCTGAAGTCCACGACAAAATACCTTTCCTTCCTAGACCGGTAAGCGACGTCGCAAAGACAATGCGTACTCCCTGCAAATTAAAAGAAAACACAGCAAAAGGGACCGGAAAAGTGTTAACTTTCTTTTTGCTGCCAACTAGCAAATGGCAGCCAACAAAAAAAAGTGTGTGATGCTGTCCGTTTCCTAATGAATACCTTTTTCAGATGTCTCAACTTTTTCTTTCCAATGGTGTTATTAATATTTGAAACCTACGCTGCAATTTAATATTAATCCAATCTAAACGATCATTTTTGTATCCAATTATTAAATTTTGAATGGAGACAATGGTGACGTTTCATATGCTCTTTGTGACGAGGGCGATGATAATTCCAATCGTAAAGGTCAAGCAAAGTGAAAAATAAAATAAATAATAACTTGGCTTGTGTTGTGGGATTTTATTTACCTTTACTCATTTCTCATTATGCCTTTACTCTTCTCTGTATTGCCATGCCATGGGGTCTTGTTTGGATTCTGCACTGAAAAATCCTCAAAACTTCATAGTCATCAGCTCCATCAGCAACGGCAGCAGAAAGGATAAAGAAGCCCCCCCAAGTAAACGGTATCTCTCCTGAGTCATCCAACAAAAAACTAAATATCAAACTCATTACAGTCACATTTTTTTCTTAACCAAAACCTCACAACTCGATGTTATCCATTATTTTTGAACGGTTAAATTATTTAAAATTTGTGAAATATTACATTTAAAAAAAGAAAGAAAAAATAACACTTTTATTAAAATCTCCTTAAAAGTAGGCCCAAAAAAACTGAAAGCAGCTACAAATTTATTACGATCGATGTTGGAAATAAATAATCTCAACTAATAAATTTAACACGTTAGAAACTTAGAATATCTAAACTTGAATTATAAAAAGTCTACAAAACGGGCTTAATGCCCTTTTGTTTATAAAAAAAAAAAAAAAAACTACGAAACAGATAACACAGTCAAATTCAGGCCAGAAAAAGAAAAAACCTTTAATTTGTGAAGTGACACCTTTATATGAAAATGGAATCCTAACATTTTTCTGCTAATGATGATATGAAAAAAAAAAAAAAAAACCATTTTGTTTTATCCCTAAAGGGAAACTAACAGTCATTATGAGATGCATTCATTAGAGCGATTTCATTAATGGAAGATGAACTTGAATTAATTTATTCGTATACATGGACTACATCTAGGGTAGAATTATCAAATTTTAACAATTAATTTCCGTTAATTTGACAATTATAATTTATTAAAAATTAATAATTAATTAATAAATATCATTCAATAAATTATAACTATTATATTGATATTGACAAAAATGAACGGCAAGAAAATAGAATGGTAAACAGTGTAAGTGTTACTTACCAAAGAGGTAGCTGAGGAAATGGACAAATAACCGGAGGAAGATGCAGGCGTCAGTGACGGCGTGCCAGAGTTGGTGTTGTTGTTGTTGTTAACGGCGTCGCCTGACGGAGGAGAAGAGGAAGAAGAAGAAGAAAGTGAAAGGGGGTAAGCAGGGGTGCAATCGGGCTTAAAGAGGCCATAGTTACGCTCGGAAGTTGGGCCGGGTTTCATATTCTCATTAAACAGAGCAAAAACGTAAATGTTCAAATCATTATTGGGCCTCATTGGGGTTCCTTTCTCCTCTTTCCCTGTTGTTGTGGTTGTTGTTGTGGTTGTGGCTGTGCTGCTCATCATCTTTATCAAATTCCCATTATACTTCTTAGCATTCTCAAGGCTCGCACCGGTTTCGTCTTGATCCCCCTTCGAGGGCCAACCGGTTTCGGATATATGAACCGGTAACTTGGAGTATCCCATGGAAGCGAGTGCAGAGTAGACAGCATCGATCTGTGCGAATAGCATGTTATCGTAGTGAAGATTAGTGGCAGGGTCCACCATACCCTGGTTTGGTTGGAAGAGAGCATAGTCGAGCGAAATCTGCTTCGGATTGGACTTGTAAGCGAAGTAAGGGTACGCGTTTATGAGGAAAGGAGATCCCGTTTTGGCTTGGAAGCTGAGGATCGGAGCGAGGCACGGAGCGAGGTCCGGACGGAAGGATCCAGAAGAGGGAGGGTAAGAGGTTTGGAGAACGGCGAGGGAGTGAGTTGTTGTGACGGTTATTTGTCTGTCGAGGTTGAGGTTGACGAGTGCGGTGTGAACGCTCTGCATAGCAGGGAGGAGGTTGGCGGTTAGAGAGGTGTCGTTGAAGGTGAGAATCTCGTTGCCGACGAAGATGGAAGTGATGTTAGTGTGTGGGAGGTAAGGTTGGAGATTGGATTTGATCCATGATTGGGCCTTGTTTGGGTCTTTGATCTTGGATAAGTACTCGTTGCCGAGGCCAACCATGAATTCCACTCCTGTGTTTGCGAATGCTGATAGCACTCGTGGATCCGCATCGTACAGCTTCACTTTCGTTGCACCTATTGATTTCACCAGCGACACTACTTCATCCGGAGATGGTAGGTTGTTTGCTATTTGACCGTAGTTAATCCCAATTGATTCAACAACATTCATTGCCAATCCTGCATAGATAGATAGATAGATCCACCACCATACCACATTCATTCTAAAAACAAGACAAGACTATGATAGAATTAGAAAGGTTCAGAATTATGGTTTCCATTATTACTTACCAGTAATTAAAATCATAAGCATAAACGAGCAGCAACAGCAACGAGAGCAGCGCCTGAATCTAGAATGATCCATGGATCTTTCCTTTTACTTAAATTAGGAGGAATGGAGGAATGTGAAGGCACTCTCTACTCTCTAGTGTCTAGTGTGGGTGTTTATCAGCAACGTGTAATAAATGAATGAATGAATGAATAGATCAGAGGTCAATTCAGCACGCAATCAATGCACAACGGTCCTGCGACTGCCACCACAATAGATTAAGAGAGAGTAGATGATAAGAGGATATTTTAATTTAGAGGGGAAACATAAAATAGTTAGTTAAATAAAAAGATTCCCTAGAAAATAATGGAAAACCTGACACGGAAAAAGATGGCTGCAACAAATTTCCTTATTTACAAACATAAAAAAAGGAATGAGATGCTTCGTCACGGAATATAACTCGGAAGCCTCCGATTGCTTTTTTCTTCTTCTTACTAAAACAAAGATGTAAAAGCATGAATATAAAATAAAAAGTGTAAAAGTAACTTATTCTACAATTATCTCGTCTGTGTGAAATCTTTTATAGGCGGCCTGGATGCCAAAAGATGGGACTATACATTGAATTACATTTGCTACCCATCTTATTTTATTCAAAAACTCTCTCTCCCTATATATATATATATATATATATATATATATATATATATATATATATATATATATATATATAATATGTCAATTTATTTTGATGTAATTATAATAAATAAATTTTATACCAAATTTTAATAATTAATTTTCATGCATTTAATTATTAAAATTTAATATAAAACATTATTTTTATACTGAAGTAAGTTAATCTTATCCCTTTACGTATGTGTGTATATAATTTTGTTTTATGATTATTTTATTGTTTTTTTAAGTAATTTACTGCTTAAATATTTTAACTTTGGGCCGTCCACATATCAAGGTTTAGAATTTCAAAAGATGTAAATGATCTCCTAAACTTCACATTTTAAATACAAAACTTATTTTGTCGAGCGAACTGTTAGAAAAAGTTTGGAACAATATCATGTGACTTGTAGGTATATGTTTTCCGATGTAAAATTTGATACGAAAAGACATTAAGATTGATCAAATGACAGAAATTTGAGTAATTTGTATTAAGATATATGTCCAATTCCCATTATTATATATAAAAAAATGATATGAATGTTTATTAATGTCAAAATATAATTTTTGGAAAAAATATGATGTAAAGTCATATTATTTTAAGTGAGAGAAAAATATAGATCATTGAGAGAGAGAGAGTGGACAAAAAAAAAGATATGAGTTCCATCTTTTGTGTCATTTAAAAAGAAAAATATTTTTTCCATAGTTTTTCATTTACATAATTAGTAGTTCTAAATCTTCACTATCGCCAAATATGATGGAAATGTTGAGGAATCTCTCCAGCTATTCACAAAACTTTGTTAATATGATATAACAAGATTTGTGAATGGCTTAAGAAATTTATCTAAAATCACTAATTATGAAAATAAAAAATTATAACTCCTAATTTAAAAAATTATAAACTAAATCTTATTTAATTACAAATCAAATCAAATAAAAAATATGACATTTTAAATAACTTTTACAATAGTTTGCTTAACAACTGACAGGAAACCTTTTGTGAGGAAAATTAAAAGATGTGATAGTTAATTTTATCCTTTATTTTCTATATGTAATTCAATAATTTTCTCCATGAAGAGTATTTATATTTTAAAAATATAACTTAAAACTAAAGGAAAACAAAAAATCTATAGAGATGGAAAAAATAAAAAAATAAAAAGATCAGAAAGATGAACGAAATAAGGAATTACGAAGAAAAAATGTGTAAAAGTAAGGAAATAAATTAAGATAACCTAGACTACCAAAAAAAAAAATTAAGATAACCTTGGAACAATATCCAAAAAAAAAAAAAAATCATATGTGACGAATGCGTCGAAGCAACTTGAGTTTAAATTTAATACATCGTTAATGCAAATTTGTTTACATTATCTTCCAATTATATTTTCGTACCTGATTAAAAAGCTTAAAATTTTTAAGTTGTAATAACGATAATTATTTTTTTTTAATAATTTAACATGCACGAGTATATTAAATTTAAACTCTTTAATAAAAATGAATGAGTTCATAACGAGTTGCATGATAATTTTTTTTTTGATAATTAAAAATTTATGTGAGATTAGATACTACTATCTCATTAGAATCAGTATACATCTCACAAGTTCTTTAAGAATTTGTGAGAGATTATAAATCACTCACTAACAAAGTCTTTGTATCAATAAAACGAGATTCAATATGAGCTAATTTTTAACTAACTTATATGGCCACCCTTATTGGCATCTGCATAATAATATAATTTGATTTATGATAACCGTGACACTGGACAATGGCGACGGGACCCAAGCAATTGTTCCCAATTTGATTTCACATCATCAACATTTCCCAGACCCAACCACCAGCACCAGGGGACGCACGGACACTTTGTTATTTTGGATGCATGCACTTTACAACTAGGAAACTTGATCAACACTCATCTTTTTATTATTACCCGACACATGTCTGCCGACTGCCATTGCAAAAAGAAATAAACGAAAAATTAAAAAGTTATAAATAAAAATAATTACAGTATGAGGAAAAAAAAATTAAAAGAGAGAATACATTAAATAAAGTAGATAGGAAATATCATATTTATTATTATTAGATGGTTTAATCGTTTTGTCATTATTTTATTACTCTAGTCTTATTATATAATGATCCACTCTTGCCTTGAGTAATTAGACTTTTGTCCAATTCTCCGTTCATAAAAATTTTCTTATTATATATCTAGCTGAGCCCTGATGGTGAAGTTCATCCATACGATTCCAAGCTCAATATAAAAAACTTTAAATGTATTCCTTTTAACTATGAGTCACGGCCACTTTAATTTTACAACTTTAAAAACGTACAAATTTTATCTCAAGTTTCAAAAGTATTTGGGCCTACTGGATTTCTACATTAATATATTAGAATAATTATATATCATTTTTAATACTTTGAACCAAGATCTCACGTTTAATATTTCGGGATAATTCCAATCATCCTTGTAGAATTCTTTTCACTTTTACGCCATCATCTTATTAGAGTTCTAAAATGAGTTTCCAAGTTTTTGTGAGGTATCTCAACTGCCTTGGACCACTAAAATTCCAAAGAAGCCAATGCAACAGTATCCAATGTGATTTTTCCCTTTCACTTCCGTTTATTAATCAAACGGAAAATTAAAGGCACGTTTCATGTAACGCCTGGCAACTTGCAAGGATTAATGACTGTCCCCACACACTAACACGAGACTTTTCAGCGTGCTTTGTCCTCACTCGCACACTTCCCGGAAAAACTTCCCAGGAGGTCACCCATCCCAGAATTGCCCCAAGTCAAGCACGGTTAACTATGGAGTTCTTCCGTTCCGGGCTACCGAAAAGTAGATGCATCTTGTTAGTATAGGTAGTACCGATTAATTCTTATAAGTCATTCCCAACTGTACCGTCCCATACCAGCACAGTCTCTGGAATCCCTCTCTTTCGGGTGTTGATTCGATTTATTCATGTACCCCGTCCGTAGAAGTCGGCTAGGAGTCGCTCCTTGTCCATGCCCTTTTGCACCGGCGATCACTCCCCGCCCTCGTCAGCGCCCGGGATGTTACATTTCATGTCCTCCCGAAACACCAAAAAGCCAAGACCCACTCTCCAAACAAGGAAACTCAATATATGAAAGCTGCTATGAACTGATGAAATTTGTATTTCAGGAAAGGAAAACGACCACGTGAATAAAGCGTACCTTTTCCATTACATTATGGAATAAGTTAGATGGAGGAATCACGTCAGGCACTTTTAAAAATTTAAACATCAATTTGCATATTTTTTGAATTCTTGACATCAGAATTCAAATGACATGTAATAGAGGGGATATATTGAAGTTTTATCCTTTAAAACTAAATGCATCCATTGCAACTAACTTATGGTAATTCAATTCGTGCACGGGAGTTGAATAAGTGGGATAAGAGCATATGTTCGATTCTCTTCAGTATCATCTTTTAAAGGAATTTAAAATCTTAATCCTAAACCTGTCTCGAATAAAATTGCCTCCCGTAAAAAATATGATTAAAAAAAAAATGCATCTGGTGCATTTCATTTTCATCCTTGTTGATTGCTTTTTTTTGTGAGAAGTTGCCAGATTTAATATAATTACAATTGTAGTATGAGATATTGAATTTTCAACAGACATAAAGCCGATGAAGATATCTTATTTAAAATTCTAAGAAGGATTTGTCAGAATTGACTCAATTAATGTGAATGATTCATCAAAGCAAGAGCCATATATCCGATTTTTGTTAAGCATCCGCTAATTGTTATGTATACCTAACTTAGTTGTAAAGCAACTTATACTTTTTTTTTGAAAAAATAATAATAAATTCCCATTTTATTCCTTCAAAGATGCAAATATTAGTATTCTTTTGTCTCCTTAATATGAAAAGAGACATCAAATTTGTATCATTGAAAGCTGCCAGCCTAGTATGTTCTCTTGAAAGAGATGTAAATCATTATATGAATGTTGCCGCCAACAGAGGCGGAGACCAAGTTAAATGGCGACATCCCAAGTGTGAAGTCTGAATCCGCAAGTTGGAGGAGGAGGGGGGGGGGGGGGGGGTGAGGGCTTTGAAGAAATGACAGAGTGACAGCACATAAGATGGACCCCTTGCCCGGTGATGGAGAGGTGTTTATAGGGGGAGAAGATGTCCTGCTCACATGAAAGAGTGAGCCGGGTCAACTCTCCTTGTGGGGTGCCATGAGTGTCTGACATGGCTGCAACGGCAGCGATGTAGTCTATGCTATCTATGGCAGTCACTGCTACTGTAGTTGTAGAAGGAAAACTTCTATTTACAGAGTTTGGGGAACCATCCGAGGGAGATAGTATACCAAGGTAAGATATTTTGATATGTTACATTGTCTTGCGGGGACAAAAGGGAAGAAGGATTTATAGTCTTTGGTCAACCAGGCTAACGTGGATGATAGGAGGGGGTTTGAGCCTATCTTAATGGGCCAATCGGTTGTGGGCCATACAGAACAAAATTCATCTTTTTGTTCATAAATTGTGAGATTAATGGCTAAGTGTTTAATTTTTTTTTTTTAAAAATGTTGCCTACACTACTTAACTCCCGAGCTGCACCCATTAAAATTTATGGCCTAACTCTTTAGGTGGCATCGTAAACCTGTAAGGACGTGAACACTGATAGGATTGTGTTACTCTCGATGCTTGCATACAACTTCGAGTTGCGTTAGTCTGGATTGAACTTACGAAATGGTATATAACTTTAAAACTTTATCTAGAGCACATAAAGTGCAAGACTGAAGCCAATAATGTAAGAAAATGGAATATGCCATGCGTTTAGATGGAAAATAAAGAACAGCTTTAACACCAACATCTAGGCCTTTATTCCCTTACATCACATTTTAACTTAGTACAACTCAGGTGCTTCAAATTTCATTGATGTTAGTATTGGTTTTATACATTGCTTGAAAAAGAGCTTTACACAAAAGTTCAATCGTAAAACGATTGGGTCCCTTCGTTGGAACTCGTTGATCAAGTTATGAGTTGGTAGCTACGTACGTCTATAATCTGACTGTAGGCAAGCATTAGATAACGTTCTTGACCATGACCATAATAGAAATCAGAATATCAACGATGATGCTCAAGGAGTGGCGACGTTTTCCTTTGCAAGAGGAGCAATCTCCTCCCCATCTATTCCAGGTTCGCTGCCAGCGACCTCTAGGCTCAATAACGCCTTTTCCCATTGTTTGGCTGGTCCCTGTATCAGAATCATCAAATGATTAGAACAGAATTTCCCTCCATGGTTCATGCTTCTAAAGGTGTAAAACTTTTTGCAGTGTGCTATGAGCAAAAAAAACGTTTCACACAGCAGCATGCTGCAAGCTTACCTTCCATGAAAAGTCTTGGGCAATGCAGTTCTGGATCATCTCTTTCAAGGCAGGGGTACCATAGGTTCGAAGGGCTCTCTTAACGGTAGCTGCTAACTTATCCACATCAGCAGGATCAATAGTCTCACACTAAAGAACAACCCCAGTTAGAATTTTTTAATTTCATTCCTCTATATATCAAAATGAAACAAGACTATTTCTCTACTTACTTCCGCGCTGAATGCTCCCATGTGAAATCCAGTAAAGCCTTCTATTACAGTGTCAACTAGTCCACCAGTTGAGGAAACTATGGGCACCTGTTGCAAGCATTTCATGTTTAAAACGATCAAAAAATGTTTTCACCAAGGTGTAGATGAGAATGAAATAGGGAAAAGTAGGCATATAAACTCTACCGTTCCATATGGCATAGAATGCAACTGAACTAGACCGCAGGGCTCAAATCTACTTGGGATCACTATAAAGTCAGCTCCAGCAATAATCTTGTGAGCCAAGGGACCGTTGAATTTTGCTACCCCTCTAGCCTTGTCAGGATACATGACCTCTAGTAGCTCAATTTGCTTCTCCATGATCTTTTTGCCAGTTCCCTGAAGAAAAAAGGATATGAATCATCAGCATAACTTTGTTTAGGTAGCATTATCAGTAATATGGACTCAGAAAAAGACTAAAATAGAACCAGAACACTTACAAGAACTATAATCTGAACATTCTGATCAATGAACTTTGGGATAGCTTCTACAAGAATATCTGAACCTTTCTGCTCTTCTAGCCTACCAATGAACCCTATCAAAGGGATACTCCTGTCAACCGGTAAGCCAAGCTCTGCTTGAAGGGCTTCTTTCAGCAGAAATTTTGCCTCGGTGACCTAAGAATGACACTTTTGATGAGCACGAATATCTATGGCCCATGTCAATTAGGAAACCAAATTTAGCAGAGAAAGTTCTACTTACAGTTGTTGCATCGTAGTGTACACCTATGTACCTATCAGTTAGTGGACTCCACTCTCGATTATCCATGCCATTCACGATACCAGTGATGCCACCAGCTGCACGAATTATATTGTCCAATTCCACACCTCTTTCCTCTCCTGAAACAAGTTCCTTGGCATAATATGGACTTACTGTGAACACTCTGTCCGATTCTAATATGCCTGCCTTCATCCAATTAATTTTCCTTCCCTTCACAGGCTTAACATGCCTGAAAAAGAAACAAAAAAAAAAAAAAAACATGGTTGGCAATAGATTTAAGTGTAGAAACACAAGATCCATGTTGTAATGTGACTTTTAAAAGGATAATGGTACCATACCCATCAAAAAAGTCAAAAGAGCTCTTGAATTCGCTAGGTAAATTGAGAAGAGAGAAGTCCGAAAAGGTATGCCTACCCTGGTAGGCTATGTTATGAATACAAAATGCAACCTGCCATGATCGACCAAGGAAAATCAGCTTCCCTAGAATGAAGCCACATACGCAAAATTGATTTTATACACCCAAAAAGCAAATAAATCCTGACCTTTGCGCTTTTGTAAATCCCCCTGGACTTGTACATTGATTTCAAGTAGCATGGAAGGAGAGCAGTGTGCCAATCATTTGCAATAAAGATGACATCTTCCCCTGCCGAAATACAGAAAAAGCTTGTAAAGTTAATTTGAAGTTTTTTCTCGACAGAAGATTTAGGATCAAGGAATAAATCAGAGAGCCACACCATATGGTCCAGAGAAATATTTGCTGCTGTTTAAGTTCAAAACCCTTGGTGCCTCAAGTGCAGCCTGAAAGTTGTTAAACACGTTGATAATGTCATATCTACAATCAACATAAGGGCGTGGGAGTTGTAATTCTCAGCTATCAAGTACAAATAAGTACAGGCAACATGCATTAAAGTCAATACAAATCCCAGCTCATATAAATGGTAGTCAACAATCAAAAATCAAAACTACAAATCTGTGGTGGAAGGGATTCAACAATGTCTTGAAATACACGTCTTAAGACTCTCTGGGCACTCACGAGCTTTGGACAAAGTACTTTAACATCAACAAAGATATATACCGGGTAAACTATAAGGAGAAAGCAAAAGGCAATAAAAAGATACCTGGCACAACAAGCTGAATCTAAGTTGGTTATCTTTATAATCCAGTCCAGCCGTTGGGCCATAGAGTTTTGACCTTGTCTTGCCCCATACCTTTCAAATTCAAAATGCTTAAAAAAGTCAGTTAAACTTTAAGGCGTCACACTGTCTTCAATTCAATCCTATAAATATTCCATTGTATGAAATGGTTGACCACAACAAAAGCATATAACCTTCTCAAGGAACAGTGGGTGATCCACAAAAACACGATCAACTCCTCGCTTGTAGCAGTGAAAGAAACGGACAGTTTCTACTCTATCTCCAACTTCAACCTACCAACAAAAAAACAGAGATGAAACGGGTAAATCATTAACGAGGGGTAGTTCCTAGATTTATATACACATGAGAAACAAAAAGTTACCTCCACTTGCACACAAGTGTCCCAAGCATCCTTGTATTGATCATAACGCGGCGACACTGTCATAACACGGTTCCCATTTGCCTAAATTAATTAGCATAAAACTGTATCAGATAATAACAATAATAACAATGACCAAAAGTAAAAACAGGTCACAGAATTAAGATAATTGTAAAAACATGAGTGTGATTGAAAATCCACTTACGGCCAAAGCTGTTGGAAGCCCTCCAAGAACATCACCAAGTCCACCAGTTTTGCTCCATGGTCCTACCTCAGCTCCCACAAAGATCAAGTTCATCCCTTTGCCACATACAATTTTCCCCAAAACCTTGTCACTCCCACTTTTATCACTTCTCTGAGAGGAAGAGGTTTTGATTGCATTGGTGGTTCTCAGGCACAGCTTGTTCAGAGATCTTAACCCATCATAAGTCAATGCCTGGTTATTCAGAGTTATCTGATGCAAATTCACTTTGGCCTCTGTTCTCAAGGTTCCAATGTTGTTGAGGCACGCGCTTCTTGTTACCACACAAGAGGCCGTCACAGTTGTCATGGTTTATGTCAAAATAGCACTTCTGCTTCTGCATGCCACATTAAAAATACGCTATGCTACTCAGAATAACAATACTTATTGTTTATGAATGATTATCATCATGTAAAGATATTAAGAAACAAGAAAAAAAAAAAAACAGAAGCTTAAGCTAAAGAAATTAGATCAAACCGTGAGTTATTAAAGTATTCTAACGAGTGAAAAGCTTGTGATCAAAACAAGTGAAGGAGTGTGATTAATTTAAAATTAAAATTAAAATTAGAGTTGCGACTTAAGAGCAAAATAAATAGGTGAGAAATTAAGGCGATAAATCTGGATCTGATGGTGACGTGTGTTTTGAATCATTGAGAAAGAAGATAGTAACAGTAAACAGTTACAGTCATTCACCGTTAAGAGAGTGATCTGAGCAACAATCGCCGGCGGAAGGAAGCTGAACAGAAATAATGGCTGCTGAGTGTGTTCAGTTGAGTTGAGTGCAACACAGATCACGAGAGTGGCATGGCATTTGTAGAGGGAGGGGTGCCTTCCACCTTTGCGTATTGCATGTTGACACGTGGCAATCAGTACCTCAAGCCAGTGGGCCATACCATCATGTGATTCTGGTAAATAATGAATATGATGCAGAAAAATGCATTTTAGAGGTTAATACTAACCTGCACCGACACGAGATACAACACAATATTATGATAGTTAATTTTAAAAAAATATTAGATTTTGACTCGTTTTGATATTAAATAATATTTTTAATTTAAGTAGTGTATATTATATTTAATATTGAATAATTTTAAAAAAATTAAAGTTAAATTTATAATACTCATCAATTTTATAAAAAAACATAAGATATCATAAATATTTATATTAAATTTAATAAAATAGTAATTATAATCGAACGAATCTAATAGTTAAAACAAAAAACGTAACGCAAAACAATTTTTGAACTTTTTAAGTCTCTACAGTACATGTTAGAGTGTAAAAAAATGTCTGTGTCAACAAAATGTCGAAAAGTATCGTATACGATAGGTGAAATATTTTGAAATATCGATACATGTCAATAATGCCTCAGGAATTGCGAAGATTTTTTCTCCTCTTGCAACCCACTTTCACGTGGATTTTCCTATTGTTACATCAACTCAAATCGCAAGAAGGCTGCTGAATTTTGATTAGCTGAATGAACCAACGGCCTCTCTTTTTTTATTTTTCTCCGATAAATAAATACATATATAATATATTGTGCGGTTGTGCCACACTGCCACTAGCACTAGTTGGCTTTAGTGTATTGTCAAAAAACAGAAAATAATTTCAGTGTTCCTTTGCCGAGAAAAATCAAGTGGTAGGCGAAAAGGACAAACAAACGCCCCACCATGCGATACAGATTCATCACTATCATACAAAATAAGTGGGTCAACACCTCCTAGGAAACTGAAAAACATACACTATAGAATTGGAAAGCTCAAAATGAAAATTAGTCCATATGCTCGAATAATTGAAGGGGTATCCCTTTAATCATAAAACTATAAATATAATTTTTACATTGAAAATAAAAAAATATATTATATTTACAAATTCTTATAAATTACATTACATTTTAAAGATAAGACACTTTTAAATGAAATCTTACAGATAAAATATAATATAATCTATAAATTTGTTAAAAAAAAGTTTATCAATATAATTTTTTTCTCAAAATAATATGAATATTCTTACAATAGGAGACAAGGCTGACATGACTTTTATTTTGTATTTTTATGATTTTGTTAAGGGAAAAGTGTGTATAATTTTTTTTTTTTTTTTTTGATAACAAGTGTGTATAATTTTAAAGGATGTAAAGTTGTGTCATTTTAAGAGAGAGAAAGAGATAAATAAAGGAGGAGAGAGAGTTGACAAAAAAAAAATAAAGGTGTGGGTCCTACCTCTTTGTGAGAGTGAAAAGATGTAAGTTGTGTAATTTTAAATGATAGACACTTCATAGTACAAGTTAAAAAAACATTTATTATAATTCATCAAATAGTTTCAAATGTTTTAAAAATATTATATATTTTTTGAATTCTTGAAATATTAAACATTCTTTTTGTTAATCAATTTTATTTTGATTTTCGAATGTGTTTTAGCAACATGCTTCAACAAAGTTTTTTTTCGAGACGATATATAATCAACGATACAAATTAATAAATCTATCTCTGTCAAGAGTCAAGACACTAGAATTTTTTTTAATGAATATTAGTATGGGACATGCTTGCATCCTAGAACAAGGTCGCTATCCGATTAGATATTTTAAGGCAAATTTTAAAATGAAATAAATTTATGTGAAGGCCAATGCAGTCTGCAAAGCAACCCAACCAAATTGTACCTGAAATGGACATGTTAGAAGCAATGGACGGTGGAGGAGGATATACAATGAAATCGGATGCATTCACATTTATTATAAGTGCTTATTGAATATGTAATGAATATTGAATATAATATATATTACATAAATTAAAAATATTATTTAATATCAAAATATTTTTTAAAATTAATATGTAGAGTTTGTGTCCAGTATCCTGCGGTACAACATAAATTATAAGTGCTTAAACTATTTATTTTAAATTCTATTTAATTCATGTAATTATTACCGTTTCAAAAAAAAAATGTCTATACGAGCGTATTAAATGAAAATGTAAAGAAAAAATAAATTTTGAATATTTAATTTTATATGAATGATCAAAAATTATTTTTCTCACCTTTTATGTTCTTATTTGATACTATGTATATAATATTTGCAATTTTTAAATAATATCTGCTTGATACCTTTCATATTCACTCCAAATAAAGAATAAACTCAGCCAATACGGATACCAGTTTCACATATTATCAGAAAAATCTTTGCTAACTATTATATTTATGGGTTTTATACACGTGACGTTGTAGAATATTTTTAGTGTCACGTTACTCTAATATATTTAATGTGGGTCCCACTCGAATACATTATATATGTGATATTGTAGGACATTTGTAGTGTCATGTTACTCTAATACACTAAAAATATTCTACAACATAACATATGTAAAACCCTATATTTATATAACTTAAATATTTTACTTTATATTATTAAACTTAAAGCAAAGTATGTATTATTTAACTAAGGTATTATATCCTTCATGTTGTAAGAACTAATGTTGTTGTCATGTTAAAAAAAGACAAGGTATATATAATATTAAAATAATGATAAGACACTTTATTCAATGAATTGATTTGTCCTTTTCTTAACATGATAAAACTTTTGGTTCCTACAACATAATGGATGCATTTCCCTTTAACTAAAGGGAAAAGAATTCTCATATTATAAGAGAATTCTTTCTCCTACTAGTGCTACATCGAAATGTGTGTAACAACTTTTTTTTTTTTTTTTTTTTGTTATTGATTTGTTATTGAGAGATGAAACCCATCTCATCTTGTATCTAGATTCTATATAGTAGGAGAAGAAATTTTCCCATGAGAAGAGAGGAAACTTTAACTAATCATCATCCAATATACAAAAAAATCTGTTTTTCCTTAGCAGTGTTCCTGTTCATTCTCCATTTTTATCAAAATGTCCTTTCTTCACTTACCCAATCCCTTAGATTTTATTTCTTTATAATCTCATTTTTTTTATTGGATTTAATGTTTATTCGTTGCGGGAAATAAATTATCTCCAATGATTTTAAAATGATGTTGGAAAAAAACTTTTTTTTGTAATTCTAATTTATTCTAGAATTATATTAATTTTTATCATTAATTTTTTTCCTCTCAAACTCAAAATGACATCATTTTAAAGTTATTGAAGATAATTTTGTCTAGAGACCAAAAAAATATTAAACCCTTTATCAATTGTTCGAAAGTGAGTGTATTTTTGGTATTTTTTTTTTCTATTAATGTTGCTGTACAATGACAATTTTGATCTTATCAATATTTCTACTTTTTAGCTAGGTCAAGGCATTTTTGTCATTTCCGTTATTTGTTTACTATTTATGGCATATCAAATTTAAAATTTTTGAACATAATTATTAGTACAGTACGATACACGATACGATTCAGAAGTGCAATGATGCATATTGTAGGATGTGTCGGAAAAGAATTTGTATCAGATGATACGATATTGTATCACACGATATGGTACGTATCGTGAATCATACAATACGAAAATTAAATCAAAATTTATAATTTTTAAAATTAAAAAAAATAAAAATTTGATTTATGATTTAAATTAAAAAGATCTAAAATTTATTATTAAGAAGAAAAAGAAAATAAAGATTTGATTTGTAATTTGAACTCAAAAATCAATCTGAAAAATCTATATTAATAAAGAAAATAACTAAATAAATATTTTAATATATATTTTTAAATTATTTTTTTATTATATTTCTGTATCTTACGATTATGATACACGATACAAAAAAATAATTAAACGATACACGATACGTATAGCGATTTAACAACCTTAATTTTGAATCTTCTATAGCGGGGGATGCATCCCATTGAGTAAACTGCAAAATTACAATCGTTGATTAAAAAAAAAAATGGATTACCATATAGAAACAATTGATTTTCTCATCAAAATTATGCACTTTATTTTCTTAAGCGCCACAGGAAGAAACTTTTTAATTGGATGGCATATTATCACTAGCTTTTGTGTGTATCTGAACTTCCTTTTCCTGTTTGAGAACAGGAAAAGTTCCTTATACTCAGGCCATGGCGCGTAGATAGCAGCAGATAACCAGGTTTGGTGTATCTGAGCTTCCTTTTCCTGCTTTAGAACAGAAATAAGTCCTTGTACTCAAGCCATTACAAGTAGATAGCAATAGATAAGGAGATTTGTTCAAAAATTTTGATGATTTCATCTGGTGTCAGTATTTTTGGCTGTTGCAAATTTTTTCTGCAACTATTGTTGTGCATTGGATACGAATTTCGATTCATTTGGTCTGCTGTAAGTGTTTTATTGCTTCCAATTTTCCGGTCCAACTATTGTTATGTTTAACATACGAATTTGGTTATTTGGTCTGTGGTTTAGTGTTTTGCTTCTATTTTTCCTTTTTTGAAATTTTAGCTCCAACTATTGTTATGTTTTTGGTATGTTGTCAGTGTTCTGGTCTTTCAAAATTTCCCTCCAATATTGTCTAATTTGTATCGCTGGTCAGGTCTATTAAGACTATAACCACAATAGCACATAGGTAACTATGTACTCCATTTCAAATGCATTCTAAATGAACTCAACTTGAGAAGGTCGACAAGACACGAAAGACCGGAGAAGCTAACAATAAGATAACATGAACCAAAGAAAAAGAACAGGAAGATTGGTGTTATTCGTGCTCTGCAGCACGAGAATTTTCAATGACTTAAATATACAATGTCCCTATTCCAATTAAAAGCTTCCTCATAGCTCAAACAAATGGAGAAAGAATAGTACCATTCCTCTTGAATCATGCCTGCAAACTGATGCTTGAAAGCAAGATCTGAGATCTCTGTTTCTAATTCTACTGCCTGAAAGACTTGGCTGGCAATTTCTCAAAGAAGCAAAAAGCATAATGTATCATAACCTCCTTCCAATTTTTGCAAACCTCCGGGCGACTCCAAATATAACTGCCTTAGTCAGTAGTCCTTGGTCAAGAGTGCAGGCAAGGGCAATGGCTCCACCAACAACTAGAAGCTTAGGTATGTTTCTCCCAATTGGTTTGCCAGAAGATTCCTGATTTTCAGTCTCCAACAAGTTACTGGTTGTGTTTTCCAGAGACCTCAGATAGTCTGCAGTTACTTTAGTGTTGATTTTAGCAGCACAAGCACAGCGTGACAATGGGGCACCAGAAGCTCTCTCTTTCTGATATGTCCGTAGTCCAGGATCAAACTTCTTGACAGCTCCCCACATACCCTGACGAACTCCAAGCTTAGCAATTTCCCAGGGTATGCCCATATCTTCATGATGAAACAATAACACTTCACATGCAGTTAGCTGGCCATCTTTTCTTGATTTAACTGATCCACATATGCAACAGATGCACATAAATCTCTATTGTTTATAAAACCACAACAAATGAAAATAATACAGAATTTAAAGATTTTTTTGGCATCCCATGATATAAATCCTACTTTGAGGAAAATAAACAGAACTTTCTCAGGTTCCATCATTTATATGAAACCTTAATCTCCCAGCTGGATTCCAAATTTAAAGAGCAATAATTTTTAGACAATAATGAAGTCTTAATTGATGATTTGAGACGAGTAAATTCTAAAATTGAGTCCCAGTTAAGTAGGAGTATGACAGAGAACATGGAATGCTAGTTCAGTAAGACACAAGTTAGCAATAATTTGGGTATGAAAATTGGGGAACACATCAAACACAAATTGCACGGTTTAAGCATAAATTGAGATCAGCCTATCAAAATTCTACCACACATCTATAAGACCAACATGCTATATGGTAGTAAACTTTGGCCAGTTAAGTGCCAACGAAAGAAACATAATATATGTAGCGTAGATGAGGATGCTGAGCTAGATGAACGAAAATACAAGAGAAGAGCAAATTAAGAATGAATGAATGCAAGAGAAAGTTTAGAACAATTACATCGTTTGCTCAAATCCCCTGCTTACCACGTTTGGGAAGTGGGTAACAATTGACCCAAAATGTTACTTTGAAATTGTTCCGAACTTAAACCTAGTAGCAACAAAAAAAGCACAATAGCATGCATTGATGATATTATGGGCTATGGTTAGTTTTTAAAAATGGAATGATGGGCCTGTTGATAATTTTTTTACCACTTAATAATATTGTTTAAAGTTCAAGCATAACGCGAACCAACTCTAGACTGGAATAATGGTTTTCATTTAAATTTTGGAATAATGGCATTAATTGATCCATGTAGCTAACCTACCAGGTTGAATAAGGCTTGGTTGTTGACAAAATTACCTAGATAGCAAAGGATAAAAACCAAAAATGCCCAATCTAAACCATATGTCAAAGGTTAGATATGAACCTCAAGATTCCAGACGTAGAACCATACTGAAGGCAAGGGGATCATTCCAAATAAAACATCTGAAAGCCTTCTCTTAGTTTGGTCTAAAAATAAAAAAGGAAAAAAAAAATAAAATCCATGTACCAGCTCTCAATTCCAAACTAAAATTGATTTTTTATCCGAGGATCATCAACATCATCATCACCTTCATCCCAACCTTGTTGGATTCGAAAGTTGACAAACCCAAAAAGAATTCAAAAGAAAAAACGGAGTCCTAGAAAACATATTCCAAAATACATATTGGTAAGCTTTTCTAAAACCATAGCTGATAATTCAAATATGTACACACATTAATAATTTACTAACACATGCAATGCTTGTCAAATAGATAGTACTTTCAAGAATTTAGCTCTAAGTTGCTCATTACCTGCTCGAATACGCCAGCTCGAATAATATAGATCAACTCGTTTAGGTTTGCTATGCCTTGGCATAGAGGAGCAAGGCACTCCCTGAAGAAGCAAAATATGCCACAAATTGATATCAAAGAATGAGAAAATTATCATAATTATCTATTAGCAATTCTCTAAAATGGGAAATAGCTTGTTAAATTCCAGTAAGTAAAGTCTCAAGTCAAGTGAGACGACCATGGAGCATACTTCACAATACAAACTTGTACTAGTGTAACTCTTAACTTAAGTCTTCTATTATAAGAATATTATGAAAGATCCAGCAAAAACTAGCTTGTTAACTCTTCATGGATGAAACAAGAAAATCTTAACATACCCAATCCCAACACACAAATTAGTATCTAAGACTTCACAAGAACGTGAGATATTTGTTAGCTTGCATACCTTAGTTACACAGTAGTAGGCTTGTCCTGCGTCCCAAATTCGACGACCAATGATATATTCTCTATCACTGCAAAAGAAGGGAAACTGTAGCAAGCGAGAATTGCAAAAAAATGAGAATGCAAGAAAGTGAGAGAGATAAAGTTAGAATACAATGAAGCTTCGGGTAATACAAAAATAACTAACTAACTAACAAACCTTGCGCACCCAGTGCACTAGCATTGTTCCAGTGAGAGCACACTCTTGTATGGTTGAAGCATATATAAGCATGTCATCCCACTTCAAACGGAAATCATCATCCCAAAAGAAATCCCTAACCAACTCAGGACTCGCATCTTCGAACACAGTTCTGCTCCGATACTGAGGCGGTCCACTCTAACAAACAAACAAACAAAACCAATAAACCATACATTACAATTTTCAATTGCATATTCAAGTTGAACCAATCCAATCAAATAATAATACCTCTGGATCCCTACGCCAAGCTTGATAACTCATGGTTGGGGTAGAACGATCCATCATCTGAATCCAAGTAGGACCACCATCTTTTTCCTCAACCAACTTGCATAAATGTTGCAAATCTTGCTCCGTCACCGAACCAGGACTCGCGTCTTTTTCAATCTCTGACGAACTCGAACTGCGCATGCATTGCACAATCGAAAAACGGTTACAAATTAGAATGAAATTACAACGAAATGAAATGAAATGAAATAGAAATGCAAAATTACGAAACCTGGTGGAGTACGAAAACGCAGAGTCGTTTTGGAGGTCCGAATTAAGGGGCCAAGGGAAGCGAAAGCACTTGAAGAGATCCCTAAGGTGGATGGCCCATTCGGGTTTCCAAACCCAACCGACGATAACACCGAAGATAACAGCTATCCATAACGGAGCTATGAACATGAGAAAGTCTCCTAATATGTCAACAATTGTGGGTCTCTGCAAAATTTCCATAAATTTAATCGATAAATGGTGGGGGCATGAAAGCACAGCGATTGATTATTAAGGAGAATTTTGGCTAACAAGATAAATAAGGGACGAGTAAGAAAAAGAAATGGGCTCTTTAAGGGATACTGAACAACACGACACACTGTCGTGGAGAGATACGGATACGGATAAGGATCATCAGATTAGCGGTCACAATACGTTTTCATCGGATAATATATATCAAAATAATAATGATGATAATAATAATAATAATTTAATGACATTAACTATTCCAAGACTTAAATGGAACCTTGAATTCTGCGTTTTTAATAATTTAATAACATCAACTATAAAATAATAATGATGATAATAATGTTTTAAATTGTTAATTTTAAGTTGTTATATTTTTTTTCCTTTTTTTATTGACTTAACCAAACTATTCGTAATATGACACACTTCTGTAAGTGTTAAGCTGTATCTTCCTAGAATCAAAACATGAAAAAAGAAGAAGCAAATGTATATTAAAAAAGAAAGAAAAATGGATTGATGACGATTCAGTTTAGGTAAAGGAATTAGTATAAACCTTATTGATATAAATTTTGTTGATATGGGTTGAGGTACAATTTATTATGTTTGTAGCATAAGCAAAGTCCATTCATTATATTGTTAGTGCAATTTTTTGTGAAGTTCGTGCAGAATCCGATATTTGAGAGATATCAAATCTCTTATTTACATTTAATTAGGTAATACGAAGATATTGTTTTTAATTGTAGTTTATTTTCAAATTACTCGAAAATTTACATTCAAATACTAACCCTTTTAAATTTATGGAGTAGACCCATATGATTATTTTCATTATCTTCTATTTATTGTCCCACCAAAGTTGACACAATATGTTGATGACATTTTCGTTGATTGCCATGATGGCAAATGTAATTCGATAAATTGCTTCTTCTTTTTTGGATATTAGGGAAAATAAACAAACAGAACAAACTAACTAAGGATCATTCTGGGTATGAACATTCGATAAATTGCTTTAGTTTATGGATTGAACAACTTTATCCTATGACTTGTTATATTATTACATTAGATTTGGTGACTGATAGCATAATTAAGAATTTGATCGAAATTGACATTGTGTATTTTCGATAAAATGTCAAGTATGTTTCCGACTATTGTCCTGAAATAAAAATAAGTCATATTCTTGAAAAAATTCCAAATATTTAAGGAATATTTTTAAACAAACCAAACACATTTTGATAATATTCTTAAGAATCACATCGTATGAAATAAAAAATGTCATATCAAACACCACCATAGCAAAACAAATTTAATAGTATTTAAGAAGTTGAGAAAAAATGATACTAGCAAAACAACATTTGAACATCCCCAACTGTACGATCTATTAAAAAAAAAACCCAAAGCAAGATAGAAAGCACATCAACAACTTGCTCTATCAACATAAAACAGTAAAAATTTACAGGAAAAAACAAAAAACACTTTAAAGCAGGAGTCCGTTCTGAAACTATTTAAGTGTAATGTTGTCATCCCCTATATTTTACGGGACCAACCTTCATTTGTCAACATTTATCCAACTGTCTTCATCTACCAGCTTGTAGACACTGAAGTGGTTGACCTTAATCTTCCACTCTCCTTTGGTGGGATCATATGATACAAATTCAGCACCTTGGTCCTCAGCCTTTCTCTTAAGCATCTCCTTGTATTTCTCGATCTTTGGCCCTTCCGTATACTGATTTCCAGTTTTTTTATCAACACATTTTATGTTGAGGAGTGTTACCTCAGCAGGCTTATTCAGCCCTTGTCCAACAGGAGGTTTCTTTGCATCATCCATGTATACAACCACCTCACGATTGTTAAACTGAATAAGGGACTCAAGATCAAGCCCTCGTACATCTGTCTCACCCAAAAATCTGATGCTTCCATAACCTTGCCTTCCAACCACGAACTCCTTGACATGACTGCAGAATCCTGGTTCAGCTCTTTCCTTGGCCGCCAGTTCATGAATTCGAGGCAAAGTGTAGTAATCAGAACGTCGAAGCTTTGGCATTAATGCCTCGACATCAGCTCCATGTTCATACACAATGGCAGCCTCACCAGCTCTGTACCCGCTGAGGGTCTTATACATGCCCGCCTTTTGTGGAGAATGGTCTTCATTACTCCCATTGGATACCACCTGCTCTGTTGTTGTAGGTTGAACTTGCTCCTTGACATGACCATTTTCTACTGCAGTTTCTGGAATCATTCACAGAAATTATGGCACAGGAATAAAGCTATAAAAATTATAAAATGCATAATTTTTTTGGCAGGTTTCTTTGCATCATCCATGTATACAATCACCTCACTATGTGGGAGGGTATCCATGATTTTAAAATTTGTTTAAACATAGTGACTTAATAATACGTGCATTACCATCCACGGCAACCAGGGATGTCATTGCAACTAAAGGAGCACAACAACCAATGTTCAATAAAATAATCCAAAATTTGTGATCAGATGAGATCAATAAAGCTACAGCTATCCTTTATAATTTAATATTAGAAATTCACAATGAGCTGGTCGCCTGGTCCAATCAGCAGGAATGATACATGCTTCTTTAGAGATAATTCCGGAACATTACACATAAAATAAGGGCTATTTTATTTGTAACCTTTTTTGTGTTTCTAACGAACCAAGAAAAAAAAGTTTTTGTTTTTCTCATAAGTTAGAAAGAGTAGCTTTTGAAAAACATCTATAAAAAATTTATAAAACTTCTTTTTTAAAAGCTTATCCAAACATACCCTAAATAAGGCAGAATGTGCTTGTTCTCTCCATAGACATTATAGAAGGAATGAGACACTACTCATCCATAAGTAAGGTTTTCAAAATCCCATTAGAAAGTGGTGCCCAATGTCCTAGAGCAGAAATATATTCACAAATATTTGTATGGCACGCCTAATCACCATTGTATAAAACACACTACTTTATTCCTACAACTCAAGTAGGACAGAACACTAAATGCAATCAATTAAGATATTACCATTCTCATTCACTGGTGTGGATCTATCCTTGAAAGATGATGCTTTCTCGGAAGCCCTTCCAGGCCACTGCTCTATGGGACTAATGATTAACGCCCTTGGATTTTCCCTAGGAATGAAAAGAGCATCAGCCTTAGGTGTGGTTGGAGTATCCTCATCATCACTAAAGAATGGAACCTGCAAGAGAGCGGTATAGTTAAGATACATACCATATTCAGCATCATAAAAGCCATGTTATAATAGAAAAACAGATCGATAATAAATGAAAATACAATTACACACCTTTGCTCCATCATTCTTAGAATTATATTTCCTGACAGGAAACTTGATTCGTCTTGAGAGGTGTCGAGAAGTCAATAAAGATGATATTCTAGCATTAGCAGGTTTGTCTAGAGCCTGAAATGAAGTGTCAGCTTGAAACTTATTCACTTTCATAAAAAGTAAAACCACTCAAAGGTTGACTATAGTTTGGATAGCAAAAAAATTGAAATAATTCCTGCTCAAGTTAAAGTACAAAACCAGTATAAAAATAACAAAATCATAAAGTTAAAATCAAGAAATATAGTTTTACAGGCATGCTAGAGATTCCATATTGAATTGAAGGAGTGGTTCCAACTCGAGCAATTGACATCTGAGGCAAAGCAGGAAGTGTTCCAAATGGATTAGTAAGGGGTGCTGCTTGTACGACCATAGAGCTCTGGGTAGAAGACCTGTCAAACAAAAAACATCCAAACGAAAAAATAAAATAACATTCTATTCCAAAAAAAAAGAGAGAGAGAAGATAAAAAGATACATTACACAAATGAGTCTGAGAAAAGTCACTGCCCCTTGGTCACCCCCCAAAGGTGCAAACAAATATAAAAATTGAAAGTAAATGCATAACTCTGAGAAACTAAAACAAGTGTAACTTACGGAAGTCCAAAATTATTCTGACCAAACATGCCTGGAGCGCCACTGAAGTTACCTGCACCAGCTATTTAAGACAGTAGGGTAAAACAATCAATTCCAAACATTAATCCTAATACCATTTCATGAAACATAACAAGTAGTATATGCATATATAATTATTGAACTGACCAGGTTGTGTCTGGCCATAGTTGCTAAAGGCAAAAGTACCACTGGATTGAGCAACTTGTGCGGGTTGGAAAGGTGTTGACATGGATGGCTGCACGTATAAAGTCAAACAAACAAAACATGGTAAAAACTTGAGAGTCCATTAACTCACTATACATGCATAACACAAAGATTTCAAACTTGAAAATGGACAAAATACAATTAAATTAATTAACATATAAAGATGCTAAGTTTAGTCAGAAATATCCACATATGAATAAATTAACTATTTTAAAATTTATGCTCTATAAGTTCACATCAATAATTCCACGAAGGATTCATAATTCATTATGCGGGATCTAAAGGTGTAATTGAATCAAGTTGGAACATCCTCGCAATTGAAGTCTGTGTGAGTAATGATATATAAATAGCTCGGAACCAACTCTCTCAAAAGCTTAGGCTGTTGTGTAGAGGACCTTGAAATGGTTTTATATCTCAAAAAAGCCCCCTAAAAGCAATAGCTTTTTGGGCTGAAACTTAATTTTAATTACAAAGAATGGGGCATCAGAGACCGAACTCCTAATCAGTTGGCCATTGTACTCTGATACCTTGTCGAGGATTATCATAGATATAGAATTACCTATTGGTTACTGCTCTATCTGTTGCTTTATGCACTGTCTAGCTGGGCATTTACTGTATGCTGAGTTACAGCAGATTATATATCCTAGTGTTATTTTGTTAGATCTAGTCAGTTTCTGTTAGTTAACTGACTCATTGCTGAGTCAGCTCCACATTCTCTATATAAATAATAGCTGTGCTTGTGTCTTATTGTATTGTTTTAATAACATTCAGATCTTCCAATGGATTCTCTCACTCATTTCTCTCTTCTCTCTCAACTTACTCTCTGATCTTCGTTAAGGATCAAGTCTCCCAATAGCTTAATCTTTTGGGAAGTGAAACACGTATGGTTCTCTATCTCAACATAAACAATACCTCATTTGTTTAAGCTGCAAATAGCTTCTTTAATTTTTAAATAGTATAATCATATTTCATACAGATAATCTTTCAGTTACTTAGCTTACAATAGCTTGTTTAATGTTTAAATAGTATGATCATATTTCATACAGATAATCTTTCATTTGCTTAGTTTGCAATAGCTCATTTAATATTAAAACAATAATTTACAAACGCTTTTACACTTTTACTGAATTTGGTTTTTAATAGAGCCCAATGACATATATTGATCCATGTAGCCAACCCTACATAATTGGATAAGGCTTGGTGGTGATTGTTGCTCTATTTATCATTTATATGCAATATTTTTAGAATATTGACATAACCAGTTTTGTAAAAAGCTCAGTAAGTTTGTAAAGTTCAGCTCAAGCAAGATTACATTTTCGCTTGACTCATAAAAAAATTCTGATCTTTATGGGAAAATAAAAAGACTATAAGTGAAAAGCATTATTAAATACAAAACTACTCACCGCTGTTTGACCAAAACCTGTTAGATTGTTAGAAGTGAGTGGTGCACTGGTTGAGAAAATGCTTCCAACAAGCCCAGAAGAAGGTGAATTGAACAAGCTTGATTGACTAAAAGATGTAGTCTGCCCAAAGGGGGAGGTATTCTGTCCAAAAGTAGAACCTGTCTGTGCAACTGTAGGGAGTGCAGAACTAAATAACGGGGATGACTGGGTGTTTCCAAAAGTGCTTGTGCCAAATGGGGATGACGCACCCTGAGCAGGAGCAGGATTAAACAGGGATGCAGATTGTCCAAAGCTCGGTGATGAAGAAGAGTTAGCTCCAAATACAGACGTGGATGAGCCAAATATAGAAGGTGCTGTAGCTGATGTTGAAGAACCAAAAGCTGATGAACTGAAGGCAGGAGCAGCAGAAGTTCCAAATCCAGAAGAAAAAGTTGAAGTCTTCGGTGCAAATGGATTAGAATTAGATGGCGTTGTGCTAGAGAAAGGATTGGCTGATGATTGACCAAACACTGGTGAAGGAGAAAAGGCATTTGTCTGTGTTGTAGATGAACTAAAGCCTGCTAAACCAGTTGACTGGGCAGAGGGAAGTGGTCCACCTAAATTTCAATTAAATATAATAGAAGTCAAGGTCATCAATACTGCAATGAAACCCAGCAGGATTATCAAATTATTTATAGTTAAATAAAAAAGTACCTTTATCTCCCAATTGATAGTCCTCCCATCTTAGCTCCTCATGACTTTTATCTTTGTAAATAGGCATGGCTGATATGGACTCCAATTTTGCAGTCTGTCCAGAGGTACCACTATCTGCTTCAGTTGTTGGTGTGTAACTAGCAACTCTACTTCCACCCCGTTGAACTCCAAAACCTGATTGTCCCATACCAGGATTTCCAAAAGTCGGTGTTGGAGTCTGGGATCCTGCATGAGAAAATATGTAAAAATAACTTTTAATAACAAAAAAGGCATTAAGATACAGAAGTCCCTTATGTCTTGAAAATAGATATACCACAAAGTAGTCAAAATTTTAATGGCTTTTGAACTTACCAAATGCAGAACTCTGACCTCCAAAGGGAGAGGTTGTACTCCCGTATGGGCTGCTGCTACCAAATGTAGAAGTGGACTGACCAAAAGCTTGAGCAGAACCAAAACTAAAGGCCGGGGAGCTAGAAGCACCAAAAGCAGGAGAACTAGAAGCCCCAAATGATGGAGTACTTGAAGTGCCAAAAGCAGACGTACTTGATGAACCAAACATAGGGTTACTTGAGGCCCCAAATGCTCCCCCACCTCCAAACACAGGAGCACTTGACACACCAAATGCACTCCCCGTGCTCCCAAAAGGTGGGCTTGAGGTTGAACCAAATGCAGGGGTGGTAGTTGCACTTGCACCAAAAGCAGGGGTGCTAGTTGCACCAAATGCAGGAGTACTCGTTGCACCAAATGCAGGGGTGCTCGTGCCACCAAATGCAGGGGCACTTGTAGCACCAAATGCGGAACCACCAAAAGCAGGGTTGCCTGTTGAACCAAATGTTGGCTGAGTTGACGCCCCAAAAGGAGTAGAGGAACCAAATATGCTGCTTCCAAATGCTGGTTGTGATGGTTGGGTGGCACTTCCAAATGGACTTGTTTGAGTAGGAGTAGATCCAAAGCCTCCAAAAACAGGCTTCTGACCAAAAACTGATGATCCTAGGAAACAAGAGAGTTGATTCTCAGATTGAATTAGAAAACCTTAGATAAAATAAATATGAAAAAGGAAGAAAAGAAAGCAAAAGATAATAATGTTTGCTATCATTATACGTAAAAAATTCAACGATGCCATAAACTACTGATGCATATCTCAGTTGTTAAGTTATGCAATCTTCAAGTCTTTAAAGAGAACTACAAACTGGTAATGGATAGAGAGAATATACAGCAGAAAGGAATGTCATCTCTTCATAATGTTATTGTTCTTAATTGTTTCACTTTCACATGAGATTTGGCATTATCCTGTGTTTCTAATGATAACAATGTACTGACATGTAAATAAAAAAAACTTAGGGGTGGGGGTGGGGAACAAATCCGTAAACAGAATGCAGTATTTCCTCTGTATTATCATACATAGAGTATAAACAAATCTACTCCTTTACAAAGTCTGACATTTTCAAAATTGTATTTGAGTGGCTGAACGTCTATACTCTGTCCTCATATGTGTATTAGCATTCATAGCAAAAACATTTCGTAGGTCACAATACCAGTAGTAAACAAATGAAGTACAAGCCAGTAGAGGATAAGATATCATGCCAAATGAAATAAAAAAGTACGCATAAAAAAAGTAAATTCAGAATAGAAAAAGCTCCCCATTTGTTTTGCAAGTCCATCATAAAAACAATTCCCTCCAAAAAGCATTAGCTGAGCACTACATAGAATCCTAGAAGACTGCTATATCGCACAAGAGAAGCAGCAGAAAGTATTTATATCTGAAAACTGGTATTTTGGTTCACTAAAATCATGAGCTTTCCACAAATTACACATCACTAAACTGGTTTTCAAAGGGTCCAAGAAGACTGTATAATGAATAAAAGGAAGAGGCAACTAATAAATGTAATAACAAAAGCAATCCATGTACATGCTTACCACCAAATGATGATGATGATGAACTGCCAAAAGCTGGAGTTGAAGATGACCCAAAAGCAGGCACTGAACTACCAAAAGCTGGTGAAGACGAAGCACCAAAAGCTGTAGTGGAAGAGAAGGGAGAAGAGGATTGAGCTGCACCAAATACACCAGTAGAAGTACCTCCAAACATGGAACTACCTGTTTGCGCACCAAATGGAGTTGTACTACCAAATGGCTTAGCGGCAAAAGGATTGCTATTTGAATTGTTCTGTCCAAAAACTGACTGAGAGCCAAATGGGCTCGTCGATGACTGCCCAAAAGCTGTTAAAATAATTTCCATTCATTAATATTTTGATATTAACAACAACAACAACAAAGAATACTAAATGAAAAACAATCATTGTCCAATACTTAGATCACTCCTAACACCATTTAACAAAGATTATTCAATTTTGACAGTGAAAAGGAACCATAAGGACCCCAACACTCCAACAAATATGCAATAAGCCTAATCAGAAACCGAGAAAGAAAGCAAGTTAACGGACAGTATAATAGAAAAGGAGGTGAAACTTACGGTTTGTTGAACCGAACATCCTTATAACTTTCCAAACACAGTGGTAACTTGTTTCTCTCTAACTGCAATCGATTTTGAACACACATCAAATCATTAGCTTTTCTTTTCTCTGCTTCTTCACAATACGAAGAAAATAAAAATAACAAGAAAGAAATACGCAAAACGCAGCTTGTCGTAAGGTTTTGATGGATTTATCATCGACATTATATCACGTAAATCACAGGAATTAAACGACGAAAATGCGAGTTCTGAGTTTAAGAGGGGGGAAAAAAACGCTTACAGTGGAATTGGGAAGATAGATCTTGGCTGCACAAGTTGAATCGTGCGATTAGGGCAAGAGAATGAAAAGAGAAACTGTTTCGAAGTCAATGACTTGAACGGTGTTAGGGTTGGGTTCAGCCACAGCGTTTTACCTTTGGCTTCAATCAACCACAGTTACACAGACTAGGATTGAATCAAGCATTTTCTTGTTTATATATAGGCCTCATTAGCGTAAAATTTCCGCCAATACACGAACACGGTTACCCTCATCCGAGGGATTTCATTTTATTTTGTTTTATTTTATTTTATTTTTTCAGTCAAGGCATTTGATCTTTTTAAATATATAAGTTTATATTCTTTTAGATCCTAACCGTTAATTTCTGTCCATCAACGATTATAATCTATTGGGCCAAACTTAATGGGCCAAATTTATTATAAATTAATTAATAATTTTAATTCAATAAATTATAACCGCTGATGAACAGAAATCAACGGTTAGGATCTAAAAGGATCTAAGTTTATATTCTTTGAAAGGATAGATGTTATTTATTTATTTTAGGTTTTTTCTATTTTTAGAAATCCTCAATCTGATTTTATCTATTTATATAAAATTTTAGAATGTCCACCCAATGACAACTTCCCAACTTCTTTTGATATTTGATAGTGCAATATTTTAGTAATACCTATTGTTTTTTACAATTTTTTAATTAGGTTTTATCTCTTAAGTGATATACATTTTTAGCTTCCCATTTTATTTTTTTTACTTATTTCAACCTGTAAGTTAAATATTTAGTTTTAAGACAACAAAATATTGCATTAAAAAAATCACTTTCCGAATTAGATTTTCAAAAGAAATAAAAAATGGTCTAACACAAAGTTGTTAAATCGCAATACCTATCCTGTACTGTTTGACGAATTTTTTATATCGTGAATGATCTATTGCACTCATTCACGTCCAAATTAGGCGTGTCTCTCAAGCCATTCACGTCTAAATTAAGTGTGACTCGTCTGGTGTTGACACGTGGTACAAAAAATTAATAGTTTAACCGTAAAACTTTATAAGGCCATAACTTTTGACTCGGGTATCCGAATGAGGTAATTCTTGTTTTGATTCTACATAACTTTTCGAGATGTACGCAATGACATCTCATCTGATATGTTTTATCTCTCGCAAATACAATTCAAATTTACAACAATGTTATACTATAAAGATGGCATCAAAGTGGATTAACTCATCTATAAATAAGATGACACCAAATTTCCTATTAAATACAAAACGCAATCAGCTCCTATTAAATACAAAACGCAATCAACTCCTATTAAATTAAATAAAAAATTCAAATAACCACCAGCAAATTTATTTGAATTGGCGACAATCTATAATCAACTCATAAAATTACAACGCAATCAGCTCCTATTAAATACAAAACACAATCAACTCCTATTAAATACAAAATGCAATCAACTTATTGGAGGTATTTGAATTTTGAATTTTGAATTTAATGTTATAGTACCATTATTGGGCGTGAATGAGTGCAATATATTCGTAATTATTAAAATATATACACATTTATATAATATTCTACCAAGTGTTTAGAATATTTATTTAATTATTTTCTTTATTAATAAAGATTTTCAAATTGATTTTTGAGTTTAAATCACAAATTAAATCTTTATTTTGTTTTTCATATTATTAATAATTTTTTAATTTTTTTTTTGGTAATACACTATATAATACAATTATTGTAAATTTGAATTGTGTTTGTGAGAGATAAAATATATCAAATAAGATGTCATTGCGTAGATCTCAAAAAGTTATGTAAAAATCAAAAAAAGAATTACCTCATTCGGATACCCGAGTCAAAAGTTATGGCTTTTCAAAGTTTTACGATTCGTAAGTTGACTTTTTTTTGCCACGTGTCAACACCAGATGATTCACGCCTAAATTAGGCGTGAATGCCTTGGGTGTCACGCCTAATTTGGGCGTGAATAGTCAAGCCTAATTTGGACGTGAATGAGTGCAATAGATCTGTAGATAGTTTCGAAACAGTTATGTATTCGTAATTATTTATTAAAATAGTAATATTTTAATTTTTTTGCCCGTGAATTATATCGAATCGTAAAATTCATAAATATAATAAAAAAATAATTTAAAAATATATAATACAATTAATATCATATAAATCTAAATTCCAAAAAGGATCTCATAAGCAAAATACATAACTAAAGTGCAAACTATTTATTCTCCTACACATCAATCATTAAGAATAATATTATCACTACTGACAAGGAGCTAATCTTTCCCTCCACTCCGGGCTGGCAAGCTTATATCTCTCGATAGCTGCATCGGATCTTTCCACACTATCAGCATCTACCAGTGACATAACTAATCCAACATCCTCTTCATTAGAAATAAATCTTTGGTACTACTGTTGTACCAAAGATTCAGTGTATCCCCACCAATAAAAATATACATGTCAGTTAAAATTATTTTTTTTATGTCAAATTTTTTCTCTCTCCTCTGATGTGTAATGCTCTCATTGATGAGATGCACTGAATCTAGATACAACAGTAGTACCAAAGATTTATTCTTTCATTAGGATAGTCATTTGACTCATCTCTCAAATTTTTTTTTGGTACATAACTCATCTCTCATTTTTTGTTCAACAATCTGAGGTCCTTTTTCTTTATTATTCTTGTTGTCAATATCATTTCGTTTATCAAGCCTGTTGACATTTTCTCGTTCTTGTATGATAATGCATTTATCTTCCTTATAGATAAAAAAAAATAGAATATTTATTTAATTATTTTCTTTATTAATACAGGTTTTTCATATAATTTTTTGGTTTAAATCACAAAATCAAATCTTTATTTTTTATATTAAAAATTACAAATTTTGAGTTAATTTTTGTATCATATAATACACGTATTGTATCGTATCGTAAGATACAATATCGTATTGTTCGATACAAACTCCTTTCTGATACACCCCACGATAGGTATCACTAGGCTTGTGAATTATATCGTATCGTGTATCGTAAGATATTGATAATTATAACTCATTTATCTAATTCGGGTAAAAAGTTGTCTCTCCGTGAGCTTTTGATATCATCTAAAGGCAATAATCCTAAATGGCTGGTGATATTAATCGATGATATAAAAACCAATTCGGCTATTGGTTCGGTTGGAATATGGGATCACCGGGTCACTGGTTTAATCCTGCGAGTAATTGGTTTAACCGCTTCAACCTAATACATGAATATAAGTTTATATTTTATACTAAAAATTAAAAATTATAATTACACAACCTAAAAAAAGTAGCATCTAACAAAATAAAAAAAATGAAAATGAAAATTATTTAACTTTTAAAAGGCTTTAGGGAAAAAGAGAGAGTAAAAAATAGACTAATCTATTGTCAGCCTAAAACCAATAATCCATGATCCGAGAATCAACCTGACCCACTAACTTATATTTTCAAAATAAATCGTAATCTCCTCATCAACGGCTTTTTGACCATTGTGCCCCTAATTAAAGTAAAAATTACTACTATGCCCTCATTTTTAAACTATTTAAAAAAATTGACCTTTTCGCTAAACATAACATCTATCTGCCCATGTTTGATCGTTGACTAGAAGTCATACTCGAGTATGCAACTTATATACTTGAGTACATTTTGCGGGTTAAAATTGCTTATACAACTCATGGGTTTATACTCGAGTATGTCACAAGTTACATGAGTACCCAGCTCTTGTACTCGAGTAATTGTCCGCCAGAAACCCCAATATGAGTGGGTTTCGGCCTCAATTTTCATTTACATGCTTTCTACACCAAAATCTCTCTCGTTTCTCATCTCTATTCCAACCCATCAAGATTGTATTTTATATCACCATCTCTAAAATCTTAATTTTGTTAAATCATTGTCATTACACTTATATATTCCAAGTTTTTTTCAAAAATATGAACCAAATTCAAACCTTAATCCTATTTTCATGTGAAAAATGAGTTCAAATCAAACCTTATCTACCACAATGGGAGGCAATTTGAAGGTCCCAATAATCTAAAGAAAATGAAAACGATGAAAATCAAACGAAGCACTACATACGATGAACTCAAGAGGAGAATTCACCAAAAAATGGGGCTTCAAGGCAGCCAATGCATTAATCACTTGATAGCCAGGTACGAGACTATAGTTGGTAACGATACAATATACTGCATTGGTAACGATATCAATGATGATGAAGATGTAGATAGTGTCATAGATGCATTTTGTTAATCATAAAGTATAAAATTTTATTGAGATATATGTTGAAGTTGATTCTGGTAAGCCTTCATCTTTACCCATGCATACAAGCACTTCACAGTATAGTGTACTCGAATAAATCGGTACAGGTTACTCGAGTACACCAGCTGGGTTTGACATCTAGCTTCTGTTCCACGATTTTTTTTATCAAAATAAGTTTGTAAATGTGTATACTCATACGTTATGACCCAGGGAAGGCGTTATTGGCTGCATAAGGGTTACAAACAGTCCTTAGTGCGTACAAAACCATTAAAGGCAACTTGGTTTCAATATACCAAGTTGTCATTTAGGTCAAACAATGACCAAACCATGAGTCAATTGGCATAGTTTAATGCATTTGGACTTGGGTAGGGTGTTTCCGCATGTAAAATGCAATGGCCCATATTCAGATCAATTTTAAGCGGCAAAATAACAATATCTATGCTAAAATGTAAACATAAAGTCGTTAAACATTAACAAATAATCATTTCATTAATAATTTTTTTTTTACATAAACTACCAAGTACAAGATAAACCCTAAATACATCTGGATCCTGAGTGAGTGAAACTTAATTGTGAATACATAAAAAAAAACCTAATGTATGGTATCTGAGTGTGTCACCTTGTCCTCATCAGCAGACTCCTCCACAGTGCGTGGACCCTGTCTGTACCCTGCCTCCAGGCATCCCACCTTCAACTCCATCTCAAACCGCCACCTGCACTGGGCCTGTCTAAATCCCCTTAACTCTATCGTCAAGGTGCCAATGGATGTCATAACATTACTCATGTCCCACATCAAGTTATGCATGGATGTCATAACATCATCAATGGTTTATTCGCCCTCAGGAGCATGAGGAAGTGGTGGCTGAACGCGGGGCAAATGTGCAGGTACACCAGCATTGTTAGGAGTGTCAGCATCTTCGTGAAGGGGAACTTCAGGAGCACAGGTGCAGACTTCCATTGTCGCACACCCTCCCTCCTCTGAGTAATCTCACACAGTTGTAGTAGACGCTTGCCAAACCTGACATTCCAGCCCATGACAGTCTTCAGGGTTTCAATCCCCATAGGCACACCAAATCTATGTAATATCTTTTGAACCAGGAATGCATAGGGAAGTGGAGCAGATCTAGACTTGGCAGCCTTACGCATCAGTATGCATATATAGTGCCTCTAGTTCACCTTAATGTGGTGAAGTATGGCCCACATAATAACAAAATCACACTCCAGCACCTTCACGTGATTATGCGGCTGCTGGAACAGGATATGTGTCATGACATAATGAAATATACGAGCATGCACATTCAAATTGCTCACAGGATACTAAGTAAAATGGTCAGCCATTGCATTAGGCCTCCGAGTCTCGACAACGATCGCATCCTGATCATAACCATTAATAATAGTAGGGGAGTCTCATCGTACATAGCTGCGTCTGGTTGCGCATCAAAGTCGAAGCCGAGAAGCTCTGTCCACACAGGGGCAATCATGACAATATCAACTCCGCAGACGCGGGACGTCAACTCGCCCAATGAGTAGTGGAGGTTCTGGTAGAACGCCCTCATCATAACCTCTGAATGCAGGCACTCCATCTCCACAAGCACCAAGAGATGTGTCTGTCCCAACAGTGACATAATGTGGAACCCCTCGAACTGGAAGAATGTCGAACCAGTGACTTCAGCTCACATATGGGGCAGCTTATGAAGTCCTTCACGAACTGAGCCCACCATATCATTATTGAATAAATAATCGAAAGGCATGTCAGGAGACTCCTTCACAACTGGCTCTGGCTGAGAGGATGAGGACGCGTCGTGTCGGTGCTTTGTGCTTTTCTCGGTGGTCAAGGCTCTCTTGGAAGAACGTCTGTCAGTTAATTTTCACATTTTATAAAACACATATGTTAAATCAACAACACAAAACACAAAATAACAACAACAACAAAATAGTGAATAATTCAGCCAAAAAAAAACTCAAATTGGAAAACCTAGGTTTCACAAATTTGGGTTCACAACTCTAATTCATAACAAATTTTACATGTTAATCAACCAAACAAACCCAAAAAACTAACATACAAATAAAAATTTTGAGAGGAAAATGGGGGATTTGGGTTAGGGTTCACAAAAAAAAACCCAAATACATACCTAAGTGGGATTTCAATCGGTTGAAGAAGGAAAGGATGATGATGGTGGGAAAAAGACCAATTGATTGTAGTTGCTGAGTAGGGGTATAAAGAACCAATTCAACTCAAAATCTTAAGGTTTTGGGTGAATGCCTTTTTAATGATTTATTGTATTCTCCAACACACCCCCTCACGCAAGAGCCCTTTGGCCTTAAAACGTGAATATTACACAGACCCAATTTTTGGTTTACCGTTTGTGCTTTTTATTTAATTCCACGAGAAAGTGGGGGCAGTGAGGATCAAATTTGTGACCTTATGGTCACAAGCTCTGATACCATATAAAGAACCAATTCAACCAAAACCTTAAGATTTTGGGTGAAAGCCTTTTTAATGGTTTATTGTATTCTCTATATGAGGGTGATTGAACGAAAATTTTTCTAGTATTCACATGGGTAATGAGGGGGGGAGGAATTTGTGATATAAGGGTTTTATAAAAAACTCAGCTCGCAAAAAGTACTCGAGTACATAATGCTGAAAAAAATCCAGTTGACAAACAATACTCGTGTACTCAACCAGTGTACCGAGTAAACATTGTTTCGCGAAAAATACTTGAGTATCAAGGTCCTGTACTCGATTACATAAGATTGATTATATGTTTTGGTACGAAGACAAAGTTGTAATATTAATTTTTATCGGGGGTAACAAGGTCTATCACCCCCTCATCAACACCTAAGAGAAATATTTTGTACCGCATCTAAAATTAGTTCCAAATCCGAGTCCGTTAGCAAGAGTCATTGTCGCACCTCAAACTATTTTTTTTTCCCCCACAAATCCTTCAACAAGAAGGCATTGTTTCACCAAAAGGCGATGATCATCGATGAGTTCTTTATCTTCAATATATCATCCGGGTTCATCTTTGCCAGAAGCTTCTAAATTTCCCTCCGCCTTCCAAGAACCAAGTGTTCCAAGCACCAAGTTGTCGATAACAAAGCCTATTTTCATGAGATTTTCTTAACTTTATAACCTAGTGGTTTAACTATTTTTACAAAAACCGACAAGTCAAGCCGGTTCACTTCAATTCGTATGCATGATCAATATATTGTATAACTCGAACCGATAACATGACAAATTCATTAATTCTCGAGTCGAACTACCAGTCCAAGCCAGTTTTCACAACACTGATATTGACTACATTTCAATCTTTGTATCCTTATTATATTCTTCTAACATTAGATTATATTCAAATCAACAATTTCAAACACTATAAAATTAAATTAAATTAAATAGTTATACCAAAAAAATCCCTCATTCCAAATACGACAAAATTTGAAAATATTATTACATTGTGGACTCGTACCTATACTCTCTTTCAGATGAGGCAGCCAAAGTGACACTCGACAACTTCCTATCCTCGCTGCCACTTGAAATAAGCAAAATTTAAAAGGGAAATAGGCTTTCTTTTTACCTTTGTGTAATTTTATTTCTTTTTCCTTTCTCTATAACTTCCATTCAGGTGAAAAAACCAAAGATTAAGGTTGCATGAAATTGCATGTGCAACCTCAGGAATTACAATTTACATGTTAAGAAAAGGTTAGGCGTATGAACAATTCCGTCCAAATAATCAATCACCTAGGGCGGTTGTGATTTGTGAATTTCTTCATTGAGAAGTTGCGCTATTAGGACCCTGTCAGCCGCTGGCATATTGTCACTAAGAATGCTATACAATGAGTTCAATTCTTCTGCATTAACCTTTTTAAATAGGTTCCTTAGTATTGCAACAACTCCAACGGGCATGTGCTGATTCATGAGAACCCCTTGACCATTTCCACCATTAACATCGGTTTGGTAAGCTTGTGAAAACTGCCCTTGAGGCCTGGAGTAGGGCCGTGAGTCCCAATATCCATTACAAACTCGACATCGATCCAGTGCCTCAATAGCCTGACGAAAGAAAGCATATATTGAGAGCTATCAAAACTATATCTAAGGAAACAAAATCAAATAGGGCATTATAAATACTAACAATTTAGATGAAAAACCAGAAAGAAGTTTACATCCCTAAGAAATTAGCTTAAAAAATATTATATAAAGGCTAAATGATTGAATTTTATTTGTTTTGATAGGCTACGCTGAATAAACAAAAATAAGGCTATCTTTAAAATCCAGATGTAAAACAAGTGACGAGACTGAACATTGCATTACTAGGTCTTCATGTTTTCTTCATAAAGGAAGCTGAAATATTTTTAAAATAAATTAAAATTGAGTCTAGACACACTCCCACTTGCTCTCTTAGTAAAGAAAGTAGATATAGTAACGAAACTAGCTATGAGCGTGAACAGGTTTAAAAACATGTTTGATTGAGTTTTAAGGAATATGTTACTCGTTGGTTCCCTAACTCCAAAAGCTACAATTCAATCCCAAATCGTTGTTACATCAACCTAAAAGAAGCTACAAATTTTTTGGTTATATGCATAATTACTCCGACCCCAATTAATTTGGAAAAAGGTGATGTTGATGTTGATGTTGATGCATAATTACTAGATATTTGTTCATGGAAGGTGGGGGAACACAAGGATTGGAACAGAATATCCTTCCAGTCCATGTCATACTCAATTGAAGCACTTTAAATTGTAAATGTTTTGATCAGTAAAATTACCTGCACTATTGCTGGTGAAGAAAACCCAAACATTTCAAAGCCATCAAGGCTGCCAGGAGGCTGTAAAGGAGGAAGACCCTTTCTTCCCAGCTTATGTTGCTTTGTGATCTCCTGATTCACTCTCTCTCTTACCAGTTCCCAGCATCTTGTAGCCAACAAATGAATGAAGACCTCACTTGGACAATTTTCCAAGGAAACCTGAGGGGATAAACAAGATTTAGCTATTTTACACATCACCTCTTCCCAATTCCAGCCAACTGAATCACTCACAGCAGTCCATTTCAACGTCCAATGTAATTCTCAACTAAAAGGAACTAACACCTAAAAGTATGAAAATCTCAATTTTGATATGAACAAATCAAGCAGTAAGTTACTCGATGGGTTAAACACATGACTACTCCTAAATAAGAGTACAATAGAGATGGCAAAATGGGTTTGACCTGTTGGGTCAACCCGCCTAACCCGTCAAATTTGGCGGGTTGAGCTACATGTTCAAACACATCACAACTCACCCAAGTGGGTTAAAGTAGGTCGGGTGCAGGTTGTGGCAGGTTGACCCAATGCATTGAGATTTTTTTAAGCTTAATTGGATAGTTTGGGTAAAATATATCACTTTTCTTCTAAACCCTAGTCAACTCAATCTTCCTCTTTCGCTCTCTTTCTTTATTTATTTTCATTATTTTTGCACTATGACCCACCAATTCACCTTAAAATTGGATGGATAGAGATTTTCAACCCACTTTCATAAATGGGGCGGGCGGGTTGCCCGCATTGCCATCCCTACAAGAGATCACAACAGCTTATTCACATTTTCTTCATGACTCCACTTTTAAAACTAGACGGTCCAGAATGACCTGTAATTAAACAATATCCATGTCAAAGGGCTCAGGTGAAGGGCCAAAAGACTGTCTATAACATTAATGTCAAACGGAACAACTTCCGAAAAACAAAACTTAGCCTCAAACCTACAGTAAAGTCATGAAGTGCAAAGTAGATGAGCCAAGAAACTTCCACCAAACTTTCGCCCACATAACAAAACGGTGAAACTCTAGAAATGTTTGCAAGGGATTTAGATTTCAGTGTGTGTCGACAAATTTGTATCAGAAATATGAAAGACCTTTCCAGACATACTGACAAAAAGTACATATTATAATACAAATAGCATGACAAAAGCCTGGAATTAAAAATAAGAAAGAGAAAGTACCATAAATAGAGGTCGATCACGTCCAGCATCAAGAATTTCTGAAATATAGTAGCACATACTGGATGGATCTAAGACACTTATGTATCTAACACGGCTTCTAAATCCTGCATCAATTAATTTAATTTGCATAAATACACAGTTTACATATTCAATTAAACACTGCCAGGGAAGCTGCAATTCATTATAAGCAAAGTATACATACCCTTTGGAAATATAGCTTGACTGCTACACCATAACTTTCCAGAAAGCACAACTCCAAATTCTAAAGGTTCAACATTGCAGTTGATACGCCGGACAACCTTTGCAATACGAGGTCCTTTCTGACGATTATTGTTTAGGTTGCAAGAAAAGTTTCCATTAATGGCTCTTACATTGTCTGCTACATTAGAGGTGGCACATCCTCCAAACTTTTCATCATTATCCTCATTTTTAACCTTGATAGTGCCAGAAGGTTGTGGGTCCACAGGACAAACCCCTGAACTTTCCAAACGATGACCGCCAGCCTCTACTATTGAAGAAGCTGGAATATTTCCAACTGATTCTGCACTAGTAAGACCTATATGAAAAGAAAGATCTACTGGGGTAGAAGCAAGAACTGGTCCTCTGTTTTCATGACATTCCTGTTTCACATGCAAAAGCTGAGTTGAGTCAGGACTTTTATCTTTGCGAGGCAATGCAATAACATCCTTTTCACCCATCACAGCAGCATCTGTCACAGGGATGGTCAAGTGTGTATTTTCTATATTGTTACATGGGCTTGCTTTATCTCTAGAACCTTGAAGCATCTGAGAAGAATCCTTCCTTCTATTTGAATCTGGCATCTTCATTTTATCATCTTCATCGTCACTAAGAAGTATAATACTGTTGTGCCTGTAGAGTGAACTTTTCTCACCTCCATTTTGAGCTAGAGGCAGAGATAAAGCATATGATGAATCCTCTTGAGACAATTGACTACCAGGGGTTCTCAACTTTGTTCTGCAAATAACAGATCCTTCTTTATTAACACAGATATTAAGATTAGCCGCCTCACATGTTGGTTTTGAGCAATTAATTGTTAACAGTTCCTTCATGTGACTCAAAGGAGACACAGCTTCTGCAGATTTCCTCTGTTGAAGATAGCTCTGATCTTCGCTATGTGCTGGATTTGCTTGATTCTCTATTGGAACATCTATCAACTGAGAATCTTCAATAAATTTATTTGAAGGATGCAAAGTGGCCCCGGAAGAATGAGACAAGTTGGACGAATGCGTTCTCAATTCCTTAAGTATTGTTTCCTTGTCTACTGAGACATAAGAAGTTAATGCCAGCCCAAGATCGAATTTTGCCCATCTGTATACCGCGCTCAATTTTCCTTCCAATGCCTCAACAAGAATATTTAGTTCACTAATATCATAACGAAAGAGGAAAAATTTGGAATCCCAAGGGCATGAACAAAAGTGCTTTGCATGATCCAAGCAAGCATATGTATCTGGGGAACAGTGACAACCAGCTGCAGATAGATGTAAATCAAAAAAGCAAATGTTGCATTCCCTTTCACTTGTAGCATCAAAACCACTCTCCATTTTTAATGCCTGTAAAGAACTGCAGAGAAATTCCCTTCTTGCTCGCTCCATCTCAACACGCATCTAGGGTAGAATACATAAGAAAATCAGAAAGGGAGATTATTAACATTAAAATTCAATAAAAGGGTACCAATGATGTACCTTTACAGAATTTGTATTCACAAAGCATATTCCATATATCTTCAATTCATTTGGCATATAATTTTGATTTATACTTCAAATTCAAACCTTTTATTTTTTCCCAGCACGGTGGGGGGGTGGGGCTGCTTATAAATTAGAAGGATCGATTTCAATTCCTTTGAAAATGTAATTGATAGGTAATGTTTGCTCTACCTTAAAAAGTTCATATTTTAAAACAAGATCCCCAAATATTCAGCAAATAGAACAAAAACTCCTTAGTTTAGTTACAATATTAGGGAATTAGAATCTGTTGTCATTATTGAAGTTAGGTGTCAACCAGTAAATAAAAGGACCTCTTGCTATTAGTCAGGGATTTTTCACGCCCAGTGGAAGACAAGTGAAAAATTATAAAGGATGATGACCAATACAGGCTGTGGCCTCTAAATAACCTGTAGAGAGTGCATGCCAACCAATATTGATGGTTTCCAAATGGACATGGCGGAATAGGAAACAGAAATGACACCATAAATAAGTTTGCATACAATAAAATATTCAAGAGGCCCAATAAAAAACTCAATGGATATGAATTAAGTATCCAGATATATGCTTCACTCCACCTCCATTCCTTTATGTTGTGTGGTTAAAAATTTAGTATCAAATCCTGACTCCTGAATATCTTGCAAGATATAATATAAACTTCTTTAAAGATAATTGCTTTTAGAAATTTAAAACCATTTTTGGGCCTCCACCTAACAACTTCAGCTTTTAGGAGAACTGGACTTTAACATGTAGTCATGTATAAAAAAAAACTCTATGACAAAGTGGTCGATCCTTGTTGCCTCTGTACTCCTAATAAATTTGAATTTCGACATAAGGTAAATGTGCTTGTGCATTGCCTATACTTCAAGCCCTAAGTGCTCTAATACTCTTGTTGTAGAGGAGCCATGTTAGATACAGAAAATCATATTTAGGTCCTCACTTAACAACTTAAACTTTCAAAATATTAGCAAATGTAGACACTGATAATGTTAGATATAAAACCAGCTATGAGCCTTCACTTAATAGCTTAATCTTTTAGTAGAGTCTCTATGACCAAGTAATCATGATTGATTCTTGTCACCCCATTCTTCTGAATTCAAGTGGAATTTAAGCACAAGGTAAGCAAGCTTGTGAATTGTTTACACTTCAAGCTCAAAGGGCTCTTGTTAAAGGGACTTGTTACATATAAATTCATGAGCCTTCACTTAACAGCTTAAGCTTTTAGGATAATTGGTCAATGACGTATCGAAATCATTGACTTTATGTTTTTTTCTTTTTTAAATTTATTCTATTGTAGGAGAAAGATTCATTGTTCTTCTATATGTTAATCTCTTCCTACCCATTAAAATAAATCTTCATCAAAAAACATTTAAATTCAATCTAGCACTTTATGCTTTCAATTTACAGACTCCCAACAATAAAATACAGAAGACGAGACCAATTAGAACAAAGGGATGAACAGAACGGAAATATCCAAAAACACTTAAAATTATCAACAAAAAATTAATAATAAAGTAGAAATCCCTAAGACAGATAATATGCCTTATATGGTGGTTCAAACAAAACTACTTAGCCTCAAATTCCCTTATTATGGTCACTTCACAAATTAATACAAAATCATAAATGCTATCCCTTCATACTGCATTACATGGAGAACAGGAGAAGCAGAATTTACCTTGAGTGCTTTTGCCAGAAGGCTATCCTTTCCACAGACATCTTTCCATCGTAGATTATCTGAAGTATTTTTCTTCAGCAAATTAAGCTCCCATTGAGCTCGTACTGCTTCCCTTGCAGCCCCAAGCAACAGCTTATCGTGGGATATAGAAGTCTTGCGTCCCTGCTCCCGGTACAGCTCTATAGCGATATGCCCATGGGGCAGCCAGTCAACAGGAGCTACATTAACAGCCTCAGCACAGTTGAAGCCGCAATTGAACCCAGAGTGGTAGGCTCGAGGAAATGTCAGAACAAATTCACCAGCGTTTTGGACACACCTATAAACTGGCACTCCTTTAGACTTAAGGATAGAAGGAGAAAGCTGAGTGACCTGCAAACAAAAGGCATTAGATAAATATATGTCCAAAGAAAGAAACATAATCATCCTACATGGCCATTAATCTTCTCAATTAGAATTACGGACAGGTGGATGAAATGAAGATAGGCAAAAAACGGAAGATGGAACTTCACCCCACCCAACATAACAATAATTTTAACCTTGTTTGTTATCTCTCTCTAGCAGACAAAACAAACAAAATGATAAAAGAAGGAAAAGAATAGCATGCGAAGCAAGAGACAAACATGTGATCCCCATTAGCAACACCTGACCAAATGACATTTGAGCAAGGGTAGAAGAACTATAACTCACCAGCTTATGAAGCAAGTCAGGTTGTTCTTCAAAAAGTTCAGGTAAATGCTTTCTCATGGCCTCTTCCAATTTGCAAGCATCTTTTCCAGGGACACCATACCACATTTTTGGAGCACCCCAATGCATATAATTCAGGGAATATAAATGGTGATCTTCCACATGCTGTACCCATAATTAACCCATTAAGAAAAGATAAAGCAGCTACAACAATTAAAGATGCTAGCTAAGCAACTTCTCTCTCACCCATACACAAAAAAAACTTCAACAAATTTCCACTCAAGACACAATGAATAGTTATGATGTAGTGGTTTACCAAACAAATCAAGGAAATGATGCCAACTATATGAATTCCTTTACATCCCCCCCCCCCCCCCCCCAAAAAAAAAAAAAAAAAAACACACCCACCCACCCAACCAGAACATCCCCTCACACACCCTAGATGGGCATACGAAGAAGCAACAATCTATGTAGACAAAATATACAAACATAACATACACATGGGCATGCATAGGCTCGTATAAAGAACAACAAATGCAAGTCATGGTAATATATATTAAATTAATAAAGATACATATAATTTCATTGGTTATAAGTACAAATTGGGTGAAGAATACATGAAATACAAGCTAGAAAATTATCGTAAAGATGTGGTCCTTACCCAACAAAAGGAGGAAAAGCACATTCCTACATACAACCATGGCACCAGAACACCAGATATATCACTACTTTCATAAGAGAGTACAGATCCAGGTAGCCTTGCAAAGTTATTTAAATTCCAGCCGGCTTTTCTGTAATGTTCATGTGATGCAGAACTAACATGACTAGACTTACTAGGAAAACCACTCCCAAAATCCCCAGTTTCCAGATCAGCTCCATAAAGCACCTAGAAGTACATACAAAACGAAATGTAAGGACAGGGATACGTACAAAGCGCAATGCATACGAAATAATTTGATGAAGCAGCAAAGTATTGAGATTATAAGGAAAGTAACCTCAATTTCTTCAGTAGGATTCTCGACCATCCGCCAATATTCACCCTCTATGTTCTCCACAGAAGGCTCCAAGGTGCCATTCAAAATTGTTGTATTAGCACCTAAATGAGATATATTATCATTTTGTCTGAAGTATTTGGCCTTAAAATCATCCGCATATCTCTGAAATGTCTCTAAGGTAAATTCTGGACCAGGTTCAAACCCAAACCTTTCAGCTTCACAAAATCCCATATTAGGTCCCCTTCCAGTGCCATTATCCATTCCCATTCTTGTGCATCTTCTCCTTTTCCTTTTCATATTACTTTGAATCCTTGATATCTTTCTCACTGACTCACGATTCTGAAGTTTGTCAATCCTCTGAACACGAGTAGCAAATTTAGAACCCTCCCATACACTTTTTTCCTTGAGAGGACAAGGGGGTTTCCAAGAAGACGGAGGAACAATGCGACAAATTCCATATGGCTCAGCACTGGCGCGAATGCTTGATATATATTTCAAAGTATCTTGAAACTCCTGAAAAAAAATTATGAACAAGTCAAAGATCTAACTCTACAATATAGCTAACTTGTAGAAATAAACTGATCAATGACAGGTACAGAAGTGAATTTAAATAAGCCACAAGAACTGAACAAGACCTCTTCAGTGGGGCGAAAAACAGGAGCATCCTCGAGATTTGGCCTACGGGCATCTTCCGGTCGCCATCTGGCAACAACCTGTCAGAAACTTCAATTGTTAATTACTCATTATGCAAAAATGTTGCCCACAACAGAAGAGCATCTCTGGCTAATTTGCGGTTAAGGAGCCTCTATAATATATGATAAAATTACCAGTTCATCTCCATTGTAGTTATTACAATAATCAGTCTGTTAGATGTTAAGGTAAACCAAGTCACTTCAATTTTAACAGACGATAAGGGAACATCCCAACTCATAAAAAATGGTAATGCAAATATCATTATTACTATATTTTAATATAAGTAATAGAAATAATAATGATAGAGGAAATGTCAGGTCAGAGTTGATTCATTAATTAAGGTGATAGTAATGCAGACAGAAGTAAAGCATGCATATTAAATAAACAGAACCTTTTGGCAATTACTGCAATCTGGACATCCACGGATGACTCCCCTGGGGAGACAAGGTCTTGAGGAGAAATTCTGCATTGACATTCATATGTAAGACACTAACCAGAAAGTACACTCTTACATTTAGGAAATGTCATACAAAATCAAGACATCCAAAACAAAAAACGAAGCAACATAAGACTGACTTGATCAAGCCGCTCACAATCAGAGTCTTCTTCTGAACTGTTCTCAAACCGACCATAGTTAATCCATGGTCTTCCTCGAACGGATCTAGGAACCTTTGCAGTACCACGAACTTCAACATCATTTTCCACCTGAGTTGATTGTGATTCAGAAGCACTTGTAGAGGCTGAACAACTGGTCATATTCTTATCGCCTTGTTTCTCATTCTCTTCTACCCTCTTCAGGGAGAAAGATGTATATGACTCAAAACCTGGTGGAACTGATGGAAAGTCATCATTATCTTCTTTGACACATATTCTCATAAGCTCAGTCCCCATCAGTAACCTCATGCAAGAGGCAATAGATAATAATGTCTCTGATTTGTCTTCCCTGTATGAATAAAGGAGTCAGCACAATGCCATAATCCACGCGCACACACACAAAAAAAGAGAGCAGATATTCCAGGTTTTGTTAAACTTACTTTGATAGGAAGCGTACTTATGAAGTGAAAGATGTAGAGTTTGTTCAATCTCTGAACTTCCACAGAATATTACAGCTAGAAATCATAGCGATTTAAGGTGATTCTAGGTCCCATAACTTCATAAATAGCTGGAGAGCATCAATCATAAATATGTCACAATAAACAGACAGAGAGAGAGCTCAGATAAAGTAACACAGATACAAGCAACTTAGTATCTTAATATTCTTATTTTTTTTCTATGATATCTAGTCAAAATCTCTATCCTTAATATTGTCTGACTAAAACTATAATTATTTTCACTAAGGGTATTTACATTCATCCAACAGAATGGCAGATCCGAAAGCAAATGCATATTGAAACTTCAGTATGTTCTTGTTTGTTGATATTCTTGTTTGGTCATGTAGGACTAATCGACAAATGAAGGGAAAAGCTTAATGTAGGAGAATGCATAATCTAAATGCACATAATGACCAACATTGTTTATCCCTTTCTGACATATTCTCTTCTAATATTTCTCTTCACCCTCCTTTCACCCTTTCTCAGGACCAAATCCCTAGTTCATTACATTACAACAGCCAGATCATAAGATAAAAATGTTGAAACAATTCAGCAATCACTGACAGAATCTCAAATATAACCTAAAAGATCAGGTAGAAAGGTTCTTCAAAAGCTGTGCTTACCATTATATGTACAGATTCAGAGAACATAACACATCATTATAAATTCACTACAATACAATTATTTGGAATTTTTAAGTGGATGGAAACCAAGCAAATAATAATACAAATAATAATAATAACAATAATAGTAATAATAATAATAATAAAAAGAAACCTTGGTCAATTTTACTATAATCAAGCAATTTTGTAGCAATTAGCTAAAATCCTAACAACTAACAAAAGACCATACCCTATCACGAGATTCCTAAAGGAAATCGTGGAGGAATTGCGATGTTCTATTTGTATGGTGTGATGCAGGAAAATATGGGTTAATACAATAAAGTATAGGTCAATAAAGAAAGCACAATTTCGAAGTCCTATAGATGGCTGTTGTTAAGAACGATGAGCGTAAAGAATTGAAGACAAACTGCAAAATCTACAAACCCTAACAAGATGGAGGAATAAGACGATTGAGGAAGCAACATAGACAAATCTGCATCCTCTTCATTAATGTCAAGATGATTTTTATTTTATTTTTTTCCTTTGGGTTTCTTTTTTTTTTTTTTTTTTTTTTTGGTCAACTTTCTTTTTGGGGTTGAAGCTTGCAACATGTGTAAAGTGTTTAAGCCCAAGGACATTTTCGGGTTTTTGTAACTTTCCGGGTTTCTTAATCGGGCTTTGGCTTGATTTCTAGTCTTTATATCACTATTATATGGATTTATATAAAATTTACAAGTCTTTATCAATTATAAAACCTCACATTCTTAAATAAATAAAAAACATACATTATATTTAGATATTTTATTTTTACTAATTTCTCACAAACTCTAATAAAAAAATTATAGTGAAATTAAAAAAGGTTATTCATTGACCTTGCATATGGAAGCTTGTGAAAAATTAATCACGGAATTGTTTATCTGTGTATCATTTTCTATATTAAAGACATTACTTGGTTTTGGAATCTCTAAAAACATCCAATTTATAAATTAGTTATCGTAAAAAAATATATTAAAATTAACTCAATTTAAAAAAATTGATTTATAGTGGGTAAAATTACTTCAATGTAAAAACACTCATTATTTTTATTTGTCACTATTATGTTACTAGTTTGGTAAACTTTTGTGGATTCAAACTGCTGTGCAAATAGCACAAGGCTGTTTGAACAACTTTAATAACTGTTGCGAGCATAAAATGAAATTTTAAAATGATTTTATTGAAAAATATAAAAGATTTTTTGTTATTGATTAGAAAAAAAAACACGTGCAATAAGATTAAATAAGCCAATAATAATAACTCAAGCAAAGAAAAACATGAATAGATAAAAGAACCACCTAAAAAATACCGTCAAGCAAGAATTTTAATCAAACCCTCAAAGAGATTTAAGGCTTTTTTTTTTTTTAACAAATTAGCCTTAAAAAAAAAAAAACTAAACCTATTACCCAACCCAAATCACGAACCCAAGAGTAGGTGCAAGGTTTGCTTTGGATAATTGGATGTGTGTATGGTTTGGCGTATTGGCTTGGGTGGTTGTGTTTACAAACACACAAGCGTGGGGTAGAATATAATCATGGATTTGCTTCTATCTAATGGTTCAAATACCTAATAAATTAGAATCATTACCACACGTGTGTGGGGTAGAATGTTTTTACACCGATATAAGAATAAAAAGTTTTACAATAAATCATAATCATTGATTTGTTTGTATCTAATGGCTCAAATATTTAATAAATCATCCTAACTCTCTCTGTATATAAGGTTTGATATTTCTCAGGGTAAAGGGGATAAAATTATCTCCTACACACACATATGGAGCCATATGAAAAAAATGAGAGAAAAAAAATAGATCCCACATATTTTTATGTATGTATGGAAGATAAAATTATCTCTTACAATATAAGAGACATTAAATTCTCCCACCCACACACACACATATATATATAGGGAAGGTTATATTTACAAATTTTTTATTTACTAACTCTTACTAGCTACATTATGTTCTCCCGGGAGAACATTAAGTTATACTATGTTCTCCCAGGAGAACATAGTGTAATTTGCAAAATTTTGTAAAAAAAATTTGTAAACGGATCCTTCCTATATATATATATATATATTGGATTTTAGAAAAAAAAATATATAGAATGTTATGGGAGTTTTATTTTTTATAATATAAATTTTATTAAAATGTCCTGTGTATTTTTTCAAACCCTAAACCAATATCGTTTCAGGGTTTGCTTTTGCGTATCTTCTGTTGCAAGCAAGAACTTCAATTTAAAAAACAAACTAATTTGTCTAATTAAACTTCACCACGAATCGAGTATATTTCCAATCTAAATATTATTTGATTCAGCAGTGATTTAATTGTAATTTTAACTATAAAATATAACTGGTTAAAACAAGTTGAAATATAATCCATATATTGAATATGAATGAAAGGATAATAAATCATATCTTCTCCCACCTAAAATTGTATTCTTATATCTAAATTATGTATGAAATTCATATTCAACAATCATAAATCAAAAGCATGAATAAGAATCTTAAGAATTCATAGTTTTTATATTCATATGAAAACCAGTTTTAGAACTTGCAATATGATGATAGAATCCCATAGCAATCTTTTTAGGGTTTTGCTATTGTTCTGTTACAGGAATTCTATTTTCATTCCTGCACACACATGCATATTTTTTTATTAAATTGTTTTTTTCAAAAAAAAAAAAAAATATTGGTAGACCCCACAAATATTGTGTCTGTGACATGATGCAACAACTATCATGTTACATGATAGTTCTATTACCCATTTTTTTATATTTATTCAAATTTCACGGGCTGGTATGAGGATCTTGTTAGTGGTGCAATTCGTAATTTTTTTGAGAGCCTATTTGGATCCTCTTATTCTTAAGTTAGAAGTTACTTATAAGTTAAAGTTAAAAAGAAGAAGTTAAAAGTTGTTTGAAAATTACATAAAAGTTTAGCTTAAAAATAACATAAAAGCACATATTTCAAGAAAATTATCTCTCTCTAACTTTATCACTCTTCATTTAAAAAAAGCACACAATTAAAAAAAAAACAGATAAGAGCTTAAAAAAAGCCCCTCCCAGGAGCTTTTAGTGCCTGTTTGGATCCTCTCTTTTTTAAGTTAGAAGCTATTTATAAGTATAAGCTAGACCAAATAGGTTTTGGTGCCTGTTTGGATCCTCTTATTTTTAAGCTAGAAGCTACTTATAAGCATAAGCTAGGCCAAACAGGTTTTGAAAAAAGCTCTTATAATGAAAAGCTCTTTTTTTTATAATGATAGAAGGAGCTTTTTTTTAAGCTCTTATCTGTTTTTCTTGAACTGTGTGTTTTTTTTTTTTAAATGAAGAGTTATAAAGATAGAGAGAGAAATAATTTTCTTGAAACATGTGCTTTTAAGTAATTTTTAAGCTAAATTTTTTATGTAATTACCAAACAGCTTTTAACTTCTTTTTTTAAGCTCTTTTTTTTAGCTTTAACTTATAAGTAGCTTCTAGCTTAAAAATAAGAGGATCCAAACAGGCTCTGGGAAAAGCTCTTATAATGAAAAGCTCTTTTTTTATAATGAAGAAAAAAGCTGAAAACTAAGTTGTTGTCTGTTTTTCTTGAATTGTGTGCTTTTTCTTAAATGAAGAGTGATAAAGATAGAAAGAGAGAGAATTTTCTTGAAATACGTGCTTTTAAATAATTTTTAAGTTAAAATTTTTATAAAATTTCCAAACAGCTTTTAGCTTATTTTTTAAGTTTTTTTTTAGTTTTAGCTTATAAATAGCTTCTACCTGTTTTCTCGTTATGAGAGTTTTTCTCAAAACCCGTTTGACTTAGCTTATGCTTATGAGTAGCTTTTAGCTTAAAAAAAGAAAGGATCCAAACAGGCATTCAAAAATCAACTAAATTGTTATAATACAATATTTTGGGTCATCAAAAAAATTTACGGGCCTCAATTTAATCTTTTAGGGAAAAAAAGTCTACTCGTGATCCTCATAATTCAAAAATAGATCCAGATAAACAAAATCATGATCTCAGAAATTCAAAAAGACTCACATTAATCCCTCAAAAGAAGTAACATGGGTTTATTTTGGAATTTAAAAGTATCACGAGCCGACTTTTTTTTAAGAGATTAAATTGGATCCTATAATTTTTGTTGATGACCCAAAATATATATTATTCTTTATTTTATTTTTTTTCAAAAAATATGTGTGTACACTTGCACACGCTTACATCCACCTAGGTCCGCCGCTGCAGTTAGTCATTTATTTAATTATTAAATCATATATACTTTTCATCGTATAGAAATTTTTTAGTGGGAAGGAGGTACAAGCATACAAGAGAACAAAGTGAACATTTGAATTAAGTATTTTTTTTTTGGATACAACGATGGCATTGAGATTCAAATACATGACCTCATGTATACTACCTGAATTCCTCGGACCAATTCTAATGGCGTATATTTAAATTAAGTTAGCAACTGAAACATTGGTATACAAAAATAAATCAAATAAAACATACCTCTTTCGATTCGCAGATCTACGAAAGACTTGTCTATAAAGTGGGTTCTCCTATTCGAACACTCCTCTTGAATGGTGGAGACACTATCTAGACACTTGTATAATCTTCTATGAAGAATAAACACGAGTTATATAAGAGATAAAAGAACTCTAATTTTCTTTTGGATTCCAATAGTATACTCTACTCTCTCTTTTTTCTCTCTCAATCTAATTTTGTGATCTCGTAATTTTTCTATTGAAAAAAATATCTTTGGAATATCTTTATTATTTGTAAAAATCTATTTCTTTATTTCATTATGATTTAGGATACGTATGTGCCAAGCCCATCAATATTTCTTTATATATTGTATTCTCTTTAATCAATTCAATATACAAATTTGTTTCAATATTTCTCTCGTCTCTTGTTATTTTACACTTTCTATTTTCATTCGTCAATCCCTCTTTATTGATTTTTTATAAGGTGATAATGTGAAACTTTGTTCCTCATTTTTCTTGGGTAAAGAATGAATCAAGACGAAGATATATTTTGTTCAACTAATATCAATTTCGTAAAAAAAGATGAAATGAGATAAAGATAAATTAAATGATGCGGAAATGAATATTATGAAAGAAATATACATAATATGACGCGATAAAACAATAGAAAATATGATTCAATAGAAACTTAAATGATAAGAAATTTACTTAAATACCACTAGGGTTAGCCTAGTGGTGTAGGGTGTGTGTGTTAGGAGTGTGTGTAGTGTAAGGTGTTGTGTTCAATTCCTTGTAACCTCATAAATTTACTTAAATCAAATTGTATATACCGAAGAAAAGTAACCGACAGGATTATATAATTTGACAGAAAATTTAATGATATGATATTGTTAAAATAAAATAATGTGGTATGGCAGAAGAATAAATGACATGCCTCTGATAAGAATAATGTGGTATGATTTTACTGAAAGTTAAATGATACATATGCTGGTCC